GGTTAAACAATTGCAAGTTCAATATTGGATTATATCCTTGCCTTTTTTGCCTCATGGTAAAACACGCCACGTTTGTTTTTTAGCATTTACTGCATAACATCTCTTCTAAGACATGAAAATCTCTGTTTTGATTGTGTAAAATTTAAAATGCACTGAAGAAATATATTGTATATATCACAATGTGTAGTACAAATACTCCCATCCAAAAAATCATAAATAGTTAATGGATTCATTACGAGAGAGGTCTTTTTTATCAATAAGACATTATTGGTCGATTGACGTAAAAGCGATATCTTAATGACGAGCTGCAATTTTTCTCAATATTCTTTCACCCTGAACAAATAAAAAAATAAATCTGACTCAGCAAGTTTTATTAGTTGGTTGTTTAATGACATTTTCCGCACATTTTCAAAGAAATATAGACTGTTTTTTTTTCTGTCAACTGTCGCTTATAACTGAGTTTTTCACCAATTTTCCACTTTCTTTTTCAAAACAAGATATTTGAATACTAAACATATTATTTTTACTTTCTTTGCCATTAACAAAAATTGGTCTCTGTGCTTTTTAAATTTTTTTCTTGTTATCTAATATATAAGGCAACAGTGCATTATGGGATTTTAAAAAATCTAAGACTCAAAAATTTTGGTAGCTGTCTTTTGGTCTGGCACCTTGAGAAGCTGCATTTGATTGGACCCGCATCATATCACGTGACCCATTACTTTCGTTTTTCTGCTCCGTTCTGTACTTCGGTAGGTATGGAGCCAGACTAAGATGTTCGTTATGTTGCGGGGAGATTGGCAATGTGGAGTTCATATTGTCATTCATATCTGTTCGTTTTCGGTTTCGTAACCTTAAAAAAGATTGCTGCTCTTGAAAGATACGAATGTTTTAAGTTTTACCCTTGCACTTTTAAGTTATTAAAATAATAAACATATAGCTTGACTGAGATCAATTTAACAATGGAGAACGTTTTTGAAAGAAGCAAAAAGATGTACATGTAGTTTTTCTTGCATTGAACAAATGGAACTAACGAAGAAACAGCACACTGCACACTTTGCTCTTCTGTCATTCTTGAAATGTTCTGGATGCTACTGATTACAAGCACTTGTTTATGAAGCGAGGAGTGTTGGGAAGGGGAGATAGAATTTAGCACAATTTGTCTCGCCAAAATTTTCGTTTCGTCTCGCCAAAAATAAAAAAATAATTATAATAAGTAAACTTAAGTAACTTACCAAAGTGGGCGTCTCGTGGATGAAGCGCTGTCGGAGGACTCGTCAACAGGGCTTGGTGATCGTAACGGTAGTAGACCCAGATAAGCCGCAGGATCCTGGTTGGTTGTGGCATTTGGTCTAAAATTACGTTTCATTATATATTTATATAAACTTAACGCCTGACCATCGATTCACACTTGTTGTGTACATAAATAATCGGATTAGTTCTTTTTAAGAATCTGTAAAAACTTTTATCTCATGGGCACTCGAAGCTTTTTTAATGTATAAAATTTGTTGCATTGAATTATTTTCAAGAGGTTGATTGATTTAATATTCTAATCATTGAACTCTTCTTTTGTGTTTTAGTGGAAAAAATGTTATGTATTTTAGTTACTTTTAACGCTCTCTTGTATTGCGGGTACAATCCAACATATAGTTGCAATAATAATAATAATAATTATTATTATTATTATTATTATTATTATTATTATTATTATTACCGAAAGAGACACATAGCAAATTGTGTCGTCAAAATGAGCATCAGGTGCATGAATCAAATGTTGAAAGAAGACGGTGTAAACCAACAAATATATGTTGGTGTTATATTGAACAAAATATCATTAATGTTGTGTAACTGGTGGTTAAGGATTTAAAATGGTAGAATTTTTTATGCGCCGTGATTTTAACAAAAAAAAAAAACTTTTTAAAAAGAGAATAATGTGAATTTTTTGATGATAATATCGTAATAAATTCAAAGTTACTTACCTGCTATCTGTACTGTTTCTTTTAGTCCGATACTCATTATTCTCGGATAAATTGAATTTTACCATGCCTGCGTCAGAAACTGGATCCTTTGCTTCCAGGCGAGATTCTGCAGAGCTTTCCTTAAATTCTACAGGTCCAAACGTTTCATTTTGATCACGTCGATTTGACAAGGGGCCGTAACGAAGACCGCGCTTTCGAAGCTTCTCCGGTTTCGATTCCACTGAGTTCTCTCTCACTACCTGGTTGAAGGATGACAGGAACAGTGACTTGTCACTGCTATGGCGACGGCTTCCTGGAACAGGCGCATACACACAATCACGAGGCAGTTTGGTGGAGGCGTAGGGAGGTGTGCCGGGGGTTGCATTCAGTACAGTGTTTAACTCAGTATACTGTGGCACTGTGGGGGTACGCAGAGTATCAGTGAGGTCTAAGACACTGGAGGAGGCGGAGGCTCCATTCTCGAAGAGAACCTGAGAAGCACGCTGAGCTTGCTCCCCTGCCTGCTTTGGCCGTCTGTAAATTGGGGACGGTACCCCTAAATTGTTAATCTGTCTCCGTCTTGCAATTTGTTGGGTGTTGCTACAATAACCTGCTGCTTTCGTCGAGAAGGGCTGGGCATGCAAATCGCGTAGTTGTGGTTTAACTGCTGCCACGGGTCTGTTTAACACCGGAACGGCAAGGTCTGAGCTGCCCTTGGTCACTGGCCTTTCTGGTGTAGATTGACCTTGCAAAACACTTGACACACGGGTCTCACTCGCTTTACGCGAATCGCAAACTGGCGGATGTATCATTTGTGGTTTTACAGTATCCACGATATCATCGGCCCTGGGGTGTCTGTCATAATTTCTCGTAATATCTGAAATATCAATCATTGGTTTTCTGAGAACGACGGCGGAAAGCTCTTTCCTACGCAAAACTTCGAGATTCTGGTCTTGGATTGGCACACGTCGACTTGGGTGAGCCGCTTTAGGACGATTGTTGCAAGAACGCTCTTGGGAACAGCGCTTGTGTCTATTAGATGCTGCTTCAGTATTGTTCAGTAAGCCTTCAAAGCTTTGACTGGCCGCCTGCCGGCGGTCAGGATTTCTGGCTCCATTGGTGTCAGCTGAAGATGGTGCTTCAGGTATTGGCAGAATACTGATTTTTTCGACTAAGTCGTCGCTGCAAGAGTCTAGAAGATTGGTGTTGGATTCTGCATTACTGAAATTAAGAAGGAAATTGTCCAGCAAATAATTTCATCCCCTGTGTTTTTCACACAAAATTTCAATAATAATGAGACACCGAACCATTGGGGTTCATTGGGGAGGGGGGGGGGGGGTTCAACTTCCATATAAAAGAAGCCATTATTGCAACTTTCAGGAAATTAGCAACTGGTTTTGAATATGTGCTCCATCTTTTTTTTTAAGCATACACTGATGTAAGATGTTCACTATCAGTATCATCCCTATTTAAATTCTGTGATCTTGACTTGAACTTCCCCTCCCGAAACGCATTCACGAGCACTCCGTTACAAAACCAACAACAATGTATTCGATTCGTGGTCAGGGGGTTGAAGGGAGTTACCCTGTAGTTCTTTTTTTTCTTTTAAGAGATAAATATATTCATTTAAGTATCACAATTTTTGCAATTTGAACAACTTGAAGAGGAAGAACGGTTTTATTAAGATGACCCGAATTATTTTTTACAGGATTACCTAATAGCATTTTTTATTTTGTCGTTTAAATGCAGCAAATTATTTTTAAAATACCTTTGAGAGCCAGATCCCTTAGCCCCAGATACTGCGTTCTTTTGTTCACGTTGCCCAAGCACCGTAGGCGGCTCTGGGCGTGATTCCTTCACGCGGATAAAGATCCCACCTGTGCCGCTGGGGGAGCCAACTCCCGGCGTCCGGCAACGTCGTCTCGAAACCTTGCTACCAGCTTTTGTCTGGTTTGGCTCAAGAACGGAAGACGGATTTACACAGCTACATATATTGTACATGCTGATGTTGTTCACACGACATGTTTGGAGTTGAGGAGGTAATGGGGTTGCTGAGGCACGTATGACGTCATAGAGACTTACTGTTATTACGTCATAATGATTTTGGAGAAAATCAACGTGATTTGTCGTTAGAAAAGCAAAACGATAGATCTACGCTTTTCTTGCAGTCAGAAAGTCAGGTTTTCAGAAATTCAACGCAAACAATAATTGTCAATCTACGTTTTTGAACCTTAGCAGGAATTTAAGGATTTTGCAGAAATAACGTAGGTCTTCAACAATCGCGGTATCACGTGGAACACACGTTTTGTTTGTCTTTAACCACACCAATAGTGGCGTCATGGCTGCAACTGTTATCTCTTCACAGTGTGTTATCAGATATCGTTACAATGGCAAGGAATGTTATCTGATTACTAATCCTGAGCGCGTGGGTGGGGCTAAAACTTTCGCTCAGGCCGCTCCCTCATGGCTTTCGGAACAGAACAGTGATTGCAATCGCTTTATTGTAAATGAGTATTTTCACGGTACTTTATCATCAATATGTATCAGACATTACACAACAACTGAATCAGCATTGTTGCCGGTGCTGGTTAAAATCATCAACTCTTTGGCTTTAGTACAATAACTCGCACTACTCTCGCTCAGCAAGCATACAAAAATTCGACTGGCTTTTCATCAATATATACGTAAGCGAAAATTTTCTTGCATTTTAGATCTTCATAGCGAACAAAAATATAACATAGGTGAAAATTTCACAAACATCCTACTCAAATGATCAGAACGACTATATGTAAACGTAGTATGGGTACAAATGACTTGTTTCTCTTAACGATTTAGTGCACTATCTTGACACATTTTAGAGGTGTTAATAAATAAATTCCTTTGGCTTAAACTTAAAAATGTTTTACATATCTTTCAGTCACACATAAGTTATATACTGCATTTATATATCACATTATATTATATTATATTACATTATATCACAGCTGCTTCGCCTTCTTGTATGAGTTCTTGCATTATATACGTATACATAAATATATAATTAAGTTTTTAAAAAAATCCAGTTTCAGCGTGCTCATAATTCATATTGCACTGTGCCGGCTATCGATACATTCGACTTACGAGTATATATATATATATACATAAATTACGGACATTGTATTTTGGGGATTACAAAAGATAGGTATTATTAAACTTACATTTACTTGCCTTTTCTTCACAATTATTTAATTTATAGCTAAGACAGTATTTTCCTCACATTTTCTATATAAATAAGTTCTTTTATTCTACTGCATATGACTTCTGAGGTGAATTTCCTAACAACAAAAAATAAAAGTTAATTGGAGATCATAGTATGTTCTCTACGACAGTTGATTTTAGATGGATATAGACAGCACTGATAGCACTAAAACAAAGGTTAAATTCGTCTAATTACTACTACTAATAATAATAAATGGGTGCATTCATATAAACACAACCAGCAGTTTGTACGTGGAGCTTGTCCATTGTCACATATTACACGTATCGCATAACTGTTAATCTAATATCACGCGCTGTGGACTATCTCTTATTCCGTATCACCAAAATAGGCAGCAACAAGTGAAATAATAATGATGAGTGGAACTTTAAACGTCCAGAATTAAGCAGACTAGAGCCACTTATTTTCAATGATTTTGAGAATGTTTAATAATATTAGTCAATGTACGCCACCAAGATCAATTGAAGTTATTGTCACATTCAATACAATTTCTATGACATATACGGGTAAGAACCTATAGAATACATTAAATAGAGTAAAAAAAAGGGTTTAAACGGTTGATTGAAATGAATCTGGTCTCGTGAACGTCTGTCAATATTGGTATAAAATTTTATCTCTTCCCTGTATAAAGTTGATGGCTTAGTACGTACTGCCGGTTGCCTCACCCCTTTCGGCTAGGGGATTGTTCATAGTCATTTCCGCCGTATTTGAATTCGCAGATCGAATGCTGTTGATTTTAGATATAATCTGCCCATGGGTTAAAAACAATATTGTGCCAACTAAAATAACTAATATCACGACCAGAGCAACGTATACACCAATGGTAGCCGCACTAGAGCCCGCGGATATTTGACCTGCTGCCTCAATGTCCTTTTCTGATACCATAAGGGCAAGAGTCACTGGACCATTGCTTTTAGGGGCTGAATTAAGAGCTTTGCAGACGTATCTGCCGGCGGCACGATCCTTTAAGGATACACTAGCCACAACCGAAGTGTAGGATAGGTTGGCTGATGGGCCAAACGTTGATTGTTTGCCATCTGCATCTTCAATGATAATTTGCGGTGTAGGGTCTCCACAGACTTTACAAACGGCTTGACCGTTGGCCGAAACGGAGAAGGAGTTAACTTTTGGTGTCCAGCAAGTCATGTTCTCGGCGAGCAAGGACGTGATCTCAAGGCCGCTTAGGTTCTCCGGGCTGGCACAAGTTGCGATGTCACTGGGATTCAGATGGTCCTTCAGCCAGGCCAGGCGGCAGTTGCAGTGTAACGGGTTTCCGTGGAGTACCACCGTGCTCAGTTTCCCGAAGTCGGGGGCGACATACTGGATATTGTTTTCAGAGAGATCTACATAGAGCAGCGACTTGCAATCTTTGAAGGCTGTTGGACTGACGTACGTGAGCCGGGTGCGATACATTTTGAGTTCTCGTAGACTTTCAAACCCCGTGAAGGTTTCGCTCTCTATTTTGCCTATATTGTTATCACCAACGTCCCAATGTTCGATGGAGGTAGACTTAAAAGCTTGAAATATGTCCTTGGTTAGCTGAAAACCGATCTTGTTCATGGTTAAGAACTTTAATTTCTTCTGATTAGAGAGTTTCAAAAGTCCTTGCTTTGTCAACGGATTATTTGAAATGTCTAGAGTTGTGAGTTTGGCGATATTTTGCACGAATCCGAGGTCGGTGAACTGATTATCATTTACATAGAGAGTTGAAAACTCGGGGAGAGTTTTAAAGATTTCGTCTGGCAAAGTTTTAAGTTGGTTTCCTTGTAAATTGACCAGCATCAAACTTGGCAATCCATGGAATGCACCGTGGAATGCATCCTCCGGAAGTGACGTCAGGCTGTTGTTATGGAGACGAATTTCCGCGAGATTCAGCAGGCCGCTGAACATGGAAGATGGGATTGAAGTCAGTTTATTTGAATTCAAATCTAAAATTCTCAGTCTCCGCAATCCGGCAAAAATGTTCTGGGGTAAATTAGACAAATCGTTATGAAAAAGTGTCAAGATATGCAGTTGTGAAAGATCTTGAAAAAGTCCGGCCGGAATGCTAGTCAGCTTGTTTGTAGCGAGTTCTAAATACTTGAGATTGGTCAAGCCGCGCAAGACGTCTGGTGAAATGTCTTTAAGAGCGTTTCCGTGTAGGTTTAGGGTATCTAGCTGTTTTAGGGATCGGAGGGCATCCCCTGGGAGTTGCTTAATATCGTTCTCCATCAAGTAAAGCAATTCAAGCTTGACGAGATCCTAAAAGTAACAGATAAGTGTACGGTTTCATTGGCTTGACAAAATGAAAAGTGAGAATAAGCGCTACCGTTAGTTTACCTCATTAAATTTTATATGAAAAAGAACCATAGGTTGCCGAGATCTTTAGAGTTACGAAAAGAGCTAGATTTAAGATATAATTTGCTTCATCTTATTTTCCAACAAGTAAATTTCAAGTTTGATTAAATCCTGAAACAAACAATTAGGCCTACCACTAAAATACAGTATCGTCTATATTTTCTCTAAATTTGATCATCCATGTAGATAAATATGTTGTTCATATATTTTAAGGTTCCATTATGGTACCCTTGTACTGTATACATATAGCAGAAACACTGTAACCGTCAGATAAAAAAAGATAAAATATATCATATATCCAGTAAAAAATAAAATGAGGCGATTTTCAGATAGTAGGGACCTTATCATGTTTGATCAGATGTAAGGCTCGACTGATTTGGACGATGAAAAGTTATACTTTTTCATACTTAAGTGAATGTTGAATGTTCCTATATTTATCACACGTACTGTTATAACATGTTCTGAGGATTCATTGCCCCAGAACATCTATCTAAATCTTTTTACCGTCTACTTTACCTGAAACAAACTTGACGTCACTTCAAAGCTGTTTTGGGAGATGGTCAAACGCTTCAAGTTGGACAGGCCCCGGAAAGCACCATCAACTACTTTCGAAATGTGCATCATCCCGAGGGTTAAACTATCCAACGAGCGCATGTCATAGAACGCTCCAGAAATGATCTCTTTCACATTGCCTTCATAAATCTCCAAATGGGTAAGCTTGGAGAACCTGTTGAAAGCGGTCATGCCTTCAAATCCGGCATCATCTGAAAGTTTTGTGATTGAGAGGCTCGTAACGTCGGCTGGGATTTGGTGTAGATCGGCTGAAGAGATTGCTTCGGTACATTGAACACTCGGTGAGTCTACCCATTCTAATTGCGAGCACCCCTTGGGCAACGCGTTGATTTCCTTCAAGGCAATGGAAATCAGCAGCCATGAGACTAGCGTTGCGACTGAAAGTTGACCCATCCTCTCAGTGAATTGGACATAAATTGAATGGGTTTCACCAGCTCATCACGGAGTCACAAGTTTAGGAGCGTCATATGATAGCATGTATTAATAATCTTATCACGGTTTCCAATTTTGGTTTGATGTTGGCGTTCACTATGTGACAACCGGTAGCTAGTTGATCTGATTTCGATTATATATTTTCAAATTTCAATTATATATTGTGTAAGCTTACTTAAAACTCTTTAAGACCTCAGTACCGGGTATGTTTCATTTTAAGACATTAATGCTGTGTCATAAAACATCAAAGCCACATTTTCTCGGTCATCAAAAATTCCTTCCTTAATATGAAGTTACTTTCCCGTTGTATACTGGCTGTCAACTGAATTATACCGTGGGCCCTTAGCATGTATTTCAAACGTTATCTTTCTGCATTCAATTTGCTCACTGGTAAATACAAATAAAGTTTATTAACCTGTATTTTGGTCAATGTCAATAACTGATCATAGCATTATATTGAACAATTCTTCCAGAGCCAGTTTGGTTCGCAGTGTAATTCTTCCCCATGTTTGTCGCATGTCATCCCGCTATCAAGTCACACGCCTAGTCCGTGACAAATTTAACACTCTGATGAACCTGTACTACGCTGTTAGATACATAACCCACAGACACGCAATGCCGTGTTCTCTTGTCAGATAATGATGGTTACAAATGGAAAAAACCTTGCAACTGCGACACCCTAACAATGCATACACGTGTGTGTGTGTGTGTGTGTGTGTGTGTGTGTGACCCTATACAATATGCATCTTGCATATGCCTATACATGAAATATATAAGTGAGGTCGTAAGCACGAACATAACCCAACGCACACAATGGAACACATACTTCTATACCTACCCTTTCAAACATACTTTCATACAAACGCACAGAGATGTACACACAGAGACGCAAACACTCATGCATTCACACTCGCACACACAAAACCAAGCGTACTCTTTCTCTCTCTCTCTCTCTCACACACACACACACACACACACAGAGAAAGAGAGAGAGAGAGAGAGAGAGAGAGAGAGAGAAAGAGAGAGAGCTCATCAAACCAAAAGGATCAAACTGCTATACATTTCTTTCATCAATATGTTCGGGTATTGATACTTGTTTTGGGAGATATATAGTGACCAAATAATAGTATCAAAAGCGCTTAACGTAATGTTCACTCTGTATGTGAATACGTGGAAATATTTAAAGGAAAATATATGAGTAATACAAGGTACACTATAATATATTAAATGAAGCGAAACTGATGTTCTTACCTAAGCATTTGATCTTTTTTTAAACAAAACCTTGAAACAGGATCACATAACAACGGCCAATTTACTGTCGTTCATGTTCTTGGGGCGCAATTAAATCCTGCTTTTGCTATTATTGTGCAAGTCGTTATTGAGAAAGAAGCAAAATATAAAGCGACACAGCTTGATTCTTTTCAACCAAGTTGACTTCTGTTAACTTGGTGATAGCGTTTGAGTAATGAGCATCAACCGGCATTCTATTCAAAAACGCTACGCCGACACAGAGATAGATGGATGGATTTCACATTTAATGTGAGGATTTATGCGTTGTTGTAATTTAAGCAACATGTGTCTTTTTGTTACGTTCTGCCAGGTCAAATGTGTGGTATTAAATGAACCTTCCACACAGGTAACACACAGCTCGAAGGCTTAATGCTGGTCGACGATGACACTGTACATTGCGTGTGGATAGAGGGAGAGTGCGAAAATAAATAACTTCGTAAACAATTTGCGACTTTTCTTTACATTTATCTAAGTGATATTGAAAATTCTATAAAAGAAATATGTAACGTTCTTCACCTCGGTTGTCAAGAACAAACGATATTCGAGTGAATTTATATAATAAATTAAAAGTCATTTTGCTATATTTGCTATCTTCCCCCTCCCTTTGACTGATATAGTGCACCACGTAAAGGTGAAGAAACTGGTCAAACGGTAGTCATCCGCAACAAAGATGGTGAGTTTAAAACTCCAATTGTAAGTGAGTTTTCAATGCTTCACTTTTGAATATGAAGACATTCTGGCATATAGTTTTCCCAGCCATGTTACGCAGAAAGTTACAGTAATAGTGTCTTGTGTAATAACAGCTCCAATGTTTCGGGGTGTGTATTTTTGGTTGGAAGAAACTATTATTGCAACTTCGAAGGAATTCTTTAGTTTAAACATAATCAATTTTGACGCTTAATATAACGCTTAATGGTCTAGTGCAACTGTGCAAATACGATTCTTAAATTATCATTATTTTTTTTGTTCTGCGTCAAAACATTCCGATTCGTTTTAATACTTTTCAAGCTATTTGATTATACACCTACATATAGTAGATTTATATATCCGCCCGCTGGCTAGATATTATTTTAGGTTTTAACTGACTGGCGAATCTACGGTTTCTCTGGAACGCAGACAAGGAGAATTTAACACAGAGGTGTAAAAATTGCTCGGTTTGTCTCGTTTTGTTCCTTACCGTATCCGCCTTTGATGTTTTGACACGTATTTCTCTTTATTATAGCCGCTATTTAATCTGACCGGGGCTCAATATCAGGGTAAGCTATCAACTAGTGTTGCTCCACATTCTTTTTTATAAACTACGGTACGGCAGTAGCAAAGCTTTACTTTGGTTTTAAATTTTACGTAGGTTTTTCATGAAATGGGACAACTACAAATTCAAAACGCTTTCTCTGGCGGACCATAGCCTTTTAAAGACGGAACTTTAATAAACCCAACTCTAGTCTTATTATTGTGGATTGGATCTCTGGTTGATTTGAACGCATTTAAGTCATATTTTCTTATTCAGGCTTCCTTAGCTACTTCAATAGGAATTCAAGAAATGGACAAATAGCAAAACGGGAGCTGTGGGCAATTTTGACAAAAAGAGGCTTCAAACCTACCAATGACGAACTTCAGGAAATGATAGATGCTATAAGTGTTGAAAGTAGGGAATATATTTCTATGTTTTTACGGGGTTGTGGGAGTGGGGTGGGTATATTCATTTAGTCAAGTGTAATTATATTTATTAAGAAAAAACTAGCACAGTAACTGACAAGTCTTTTTCGATTCAAAACTCTTTGGTCATTTTCAGGTCGATTCTTTTAATCAAAATTTTTTTTTTTTGTTGTTGTTGTCATTACATGGGGCCACCAAATCAAACACAAATTAATCTTCTATTTCAGGTTCCGGTATCAGTTTCCAAGCCTTCGTTGATTACTGTTCCGGTTATACCAGTCTACGGAAAGAAGAGGAAGAGTATCTGGAGGCGTTCCGGGTTCTGGACAGCAGCGGCACGGGGCGCCTCAGCAAGGACGATATCAAATACGTCGCTAGCAAACTGGGCATAGTCGGCTTTGACGCGGATGACGTCATGGCAAAGATAGATACGAAACAAGACGGTGTCATTGATTATGAAGGTAAGTGAGGATTTGTGTGTGTGTGTGTGTGTGTGTGTGTGTTTTGAAGTGATTTATAATTCCGTTTTTTTTCTTGGTGTTTTAAATAAATCTTCCTCTGCTGGAAATATTATAAAGTCTTGGTTCCAAAGACATTTAATTTCTATATAACATCGACTCATTTAATGACAAACCCTTCAAGATACAAACAGCTTGAAAAATCAAAATCCCTGCAGATGATTTGAATTTTTATTACTTATCACATAAAAATTACTCTTTCAATGAATCTACTTACATTTTCACAGAATTCGTCCAAATGATGAAGACAACGACATCTACTCAGAAGAAACCGTCTACTGAACCAGGCTGGGGCACTCCCCACCTTGTCTAGGTCTACGAAGTCATAAAGATGTGAAAATGTTCGATATAACGGAGGCCTCCTTATTCTCAAAAACGTTCTTTGTTCTTGAACATTCTACAAAGGGATGTCATTCCGATTCTTGATAATATTGGAATATAATTCACTGTTATACCTCTTTATTATCATCCAAAGTGAGTCGGTCTCTATTTTAAAATTTAGGCCAAAACACCTTGATGATGGAAGGCGTCTCGTATCGGTCCAAAGTTATCTACAGTTTCTTAGAGGATTTATAGTCAGTATGTAGGAATATATCATGATTGCTGCCCATTATCGTTTTACAATTCCACAAATAGGTGTTGAATTAAAGGCATTGCATCTCGCTAAATGCTAGAGTATATTAGAGGTACATGTACAACCTTTCTCCGGAATGAAACTAATTTTATTTCTTTAAAAAGTTTGTTATTTTTTCCGACGATCCTTTTTTTGGCTTTTTACTTTTCGACTTCTCATTGGCATCAGCTTCTGATTTACGCTTCTTTGGTGTACCTGAAAATTGCAGTGAATTTTCAATGAATTTATTTTTCTGAATTCCTAGTTGTAACACATTTTGTCAAATAAAAATGTTAGCTTTCAAAAGGCAGGTCCCATGGCACATACATGGAACAATGTTTCATGTGAAATACTTACTAGACTAGAATACAAATGAATTGAAGTGAATCATATGACAAATCAATAAAGAGGTTTACCCTTCTCCGTGGCATTTTGATCTTTATTTAGTGCATAGGCAGCTGCCATCTTTTTAATGTTCACTTTACTGATTTCCCCGTGGTCAACAATGGGTTTGGGATAATCCTTCCCAATGATGCAACCTGCTTTTTCCTGCATGGCTCTGGGAGCTTTCCACGGCTCATAGATGTACTCTTTCGGAAATTTTTTCAGCATGGGTAAATATTTTCTGTAAAATATGAAATAATTGTGTAAAAAGGAGCTGCTTTCACCAACAGTTACATCATTAAGAACAAGATATAAGCAGTAACTTGCAATTTTTTTTTTTGGCCGTTATCTATGTTCCAGCATCAAATTTGCTCTTAACCTTCTGCCATTCTATGCTTTCATGTAAATTAACCAGAATTTCTACATGTTTTACATGTCTAGAAACTTCATAAAAAATGTTCACACTGATCTTATATAGTAATTGTCAGTCTAAAACTGCCACAACTTACTTGATGTATTCTCCTTGTGGGTCCGTTTTTTTTCCAAATGCAATGGGGCTGTACACTCTGAAATACTGGTGGAAGAAAGCACTGGCTGATAACCACTGCCAGTTGCCAGCATTCAAACTCCAATCTGCATCCAACAGCAACTCTTCAAACACCTGAAACATAATAAATAAATAAATAAATATTAAATTGATCGAAAAAAATTCCGTGCTTGGTTTGGTCTAAGCCTTGACGACAATGGAACGCCAAGTCTTTCGGTCATGTTATGCTTCTGCACAGTAAATTTTAATAAACATATAAATTATATGAACTGAAGATAAGAAGAGTTGATAGGTTGATCACTTGAAATTGCTGGCTTACAATCTCAATATTACATTCTTCTCTTCTCCTACCTTCTGTCCTTCTTCCCAAGACACCCAGAGATCGCCTCTAGTGAGGAAACACGCCACAGCATGACGAGCAAGATGGTGGATCCAGCCTTCCTGACGCAGCTGAGTCATTATGGCATCTATGAAGGGGTAGCCTGTTCTGGCCTATAAATTACAGCATAGATCAAATATCAATAGTTTTATCACGTCTAACTCTGTGTGTGTGTGTGTGCGTGTGGATGTGCCTGTGAGTGTTTGTTTTCACTGTCTGTATGAAGGTCTCTCTCTCTCTCTCTCTCCCTCTCTCTCTCTCTCTCTCTCTCTCTGTGTGTACTTTGTATGTGTCTCCTCTATCAATGTCAGTGCATCTTTCCAGCATGTACAAACATAGATATATATATATATATACACACACGTCATTTACTCACATGTGTCCAAGCCTCAATGTATTCAGGTTTATTCTCCCAGGGGATCTGTCTACACACAGGATTGCCCTCCATCCTGTCAAAGTTGGCCACGCCCAGGCCAGCTGTGTAGAAGAACTCTCTCCACAGTAACTGACCATGTAGGGACACAGGGGGTTGGGAATGTTTCTGGAAAAAAAAGAGAGAGGTTAACTATAAGGTGCTCTTTATTTCTTTAATGAATTGGAAACATGAAGCTTACTTATATGAATAAAAAATTTGATTTAAAATTTCTTCCTTCTTACCTTACACTGTTTGTAGATCTCCTGCAGTCTGTGCCAGAACAGCCTTGCTGACAGGCAGCCGAACTTCAGGTATGGACTCAACACTGTGGTGCTTGGTTCAAGAGAGTTTGGTTCTGTCTTCGGTTTCTCAAAATTACAGATCCAGTTCTATTGTGTGAAAACAGCAGCCATGTAATTAAATCATATAATAAAAATAATTTAGTAATGTAAACATAATAATGTAAATTAAGAAGTAGTGATTAAAAGCATTCAAGCAATAATGGTCCACTAACATCTGTGACTACAGGATTTTCAGAGGCTTTTACATATTTTTTTACAATCAACATGTTTTTCCTACGTCCTGCTTAAATCTCTGAAAAAAACAATTACTTGCATGTTTTGAATTAAAATTTTAATTTGCATGTTTTGAATTAAAAATTTAATTTAAGGGCAAGTACCTAAAATATTAACTAGAGCAGACCTGAACATGAACTTACAGATTTCTTCAGGTATCGTTCCATTCTTTTCAGTGCCTCGGTCTCTCCCCCAGGAAACACGACCTCCCCCATGTCAGCAGTATCCACTTTCAGGTCCTTCAAAGTTGGAACACCATACTCCTGGTCATGGTCTGCCGTGACTGGTGTAATACACCCTTCATAGACAGTAATAATATAATATTAGGAATGTATCATTATAATTTAAATAAAAATGTATCATATATTTTATTTAAACTATATGCAATGTTTTATTCAGATTAGCAGGTTATATTAATATTAATGTTAAATATTATAAAATATCAAAGCCTACTGCTTTTAAATGAATCAAAACAATGTACATTATTACAGCCTATAGTACTGTTTACACGTCTGTAATGGCAGGCACAACACAATATTAACTGAAACATATACACAGGTGTGGAGAGAGAGAGAGAGAGACCAGTTGTGGGAGGGTGAGCTATCTCGTCTATAAATTGTGTGTTTTACCCTTTAAATGCTCGGAGGTGAGTGTTTCTGCGGTTCTAGGTGGCGCTCCAAGCTGAGACAGGACAGTCTGAAACCTCTGATATGTCAGTGGTGCACTGCCTCCATTTCTAGCAATCACTCTGAAAATAATACAAAGTTGCTTTTCCTAATTCACAAAATTAAAACAATTATCCCACCTTGTCTCATGTTTACACAATGTTTTCAAATAACATGGCTTTCTTCACAAATAAATAAAAACATATACATGAGGTAGGAGTTCATACTTAACATTCAGGATAATAAAGACCCCTGATGAAGAAAATTTGACCTAGGTTACTCTGAAATCCATTAATCCATGCATTTTAAAGTACTATGCATATTTTCTCATGAGAGGAGTGTTTTTTTTTTTAAATCAATACACTGCCAGCAAATAAAAAACCTTCATGACCTTCAACAAGTAATAAAAAATTTAAAGCCTTGTAGCTGATGAAATTCACATAATTACAAAAAATTGAAAGAAGAAAGTCAATTCGTGGAACTCACTTTTCAGTATCATAAAGGGTATGAGAGATCTTCTGTATAACTTCAACATTGTGTTCCTTAGCCAGCTTTATAATCTCTGCATCTCTCACTCTGGCATATGGCTCTGTGTCAACCTCAAAGGTCAATCTAGTTATACCCCACTCTTTAAATATCTTTGGAAACACTTCATGGGGCTTTCCCTTTAAGACAAACAACCTGGGGGGAAAAACAAAATATTTAACTTCACAAGCACTTTTAAAATGACATAAGAAACCATAAAATATTTCATTTCATATACAGACTAGTATACCAGTAATAGCTTAAACATAATAACACCCGAGTGACTTCATACTGTAAACATATTCAAGGTAATTCATTCCCTCCATCCCGCATTTGTGTTTCTGTTTTTTAGTTTTCTGATGTGTACTCTGTACTACAGCTAGCTTATACAAGAAATATATGCATTTAGGTGCACATAACTGTAAAATACAACTCTGCTGTACATCAAGAGCTCTCAGTGCTGTAATGATGCTTAACGTTTACCTCCTCAAGATTGTTTTACGCTACATGTGTGTGTCTGTGTGTGTGCAAGCATGTTCAATTTGTGCTTTCTTCTTCATGCAAAAGCATTAATTCAATTTATCTCTTAGTTAATACCTAGAATTCAATTTCTTCAGACTGTCATCCAAGTCCTTCAAAGCCTGCAGCAGAAACCTCCACCTATTCACTCCAACTCTGGCATTTTTCACAAACCAAGGGTCCAAGATAAAGATTGGACGAAATTCAGCACAGTCTTTGGTGCAAGCTGCTAATAGTGCCGGATTGTCATGTAAACGTAACCCCTTTCTGAACCAGTGTAGAGTCTTATGCGTTCTAGATGAAGACATGTTGTAATCTGAAAAGAAAGTGAGCTGAAATTAGAATACACAACAAATGCACTTGTGCAGGTGGTCCCTGTGACAAAGAAAATTTAAAGAAATTTAATGTACGTGCTGTGTTAATTGTAGCTATCTAAGACTAAAATTTAATACTTTGCTTCTTTGCGAATTCGGGCGTTATCAACTACACTCCAAAACACGACACCATTTCAGTTAGTTTTCAGCGTATTTCGTGAGCAAATTAGCCAAGCTTCTTGAAGTTGAAAAGAGCAATACCGTTAATACATTTACACAATTCAGTTTGAACAGTGCTGTGTTTCGCGTCCGGTAGCTATAACTATTAGACTTCACTTTTGTCTCGTTAATCCATTTACATAGAGCTTTTAGATAAACCTATATGCACCAGTAAACCTACCACAAAAAACACAACAAGTATAAGCTACTACAAACACTTTGGTTTGAAAATGACGCCGTCCTCCGCACGTGTAGATTTGTTATTATACAACAATGACTTTGACGCTAGAGGGCGATGTTCAAGAGAAGCTTTACTTAGTCCAATCCAAGCCTCTTTTGGTTTAGCTCACTAAATATATTTTATTTTCATTGACTTAAAGTCGGGAAATAAAACATTTCATTTATTTCATTTTATTATTAACTTTCTTCTTACGCTTTCAGATTTAACGCCACCTGCCTTTACAATTCAACGTTAAAAACACGTTAACTTGGTTGTGAACTTCTCTTAAAGATATCTGTTGTAAGATATAGAACTTTAAAAGTTAACTATATCTTACAACAGCAAGCAAGAAAATGAGAATAATGAATAAGCAAGCAAGAAAATGAGAATAATGAATTAACAAACAGATGAATGAATAAATAAAAGTATACACTGTTCCTTCCTTTGCCCAAATCTATAGCATGTATCTTATTGCCTTTAGACAAATGGGTAAACCTACAGGTAGGATGGAATTTTAAACATTTAAAAACCACATAGGCCGCGCAAACGCATAAAAATAAATAGATAAATAATAATAATAATAATAATAATAATAATAAAAATGGTGCAAACCAACAACTGTTTTTACCATCTCTGGACCAGGACAAAGTCTGAAGGTGAGATACGGCAACCTTGTTCACGTCCTCCTTTCGTCGATAATTAGGCATGTAAAACACATCATCGTCTGCTAACTGATCGTCTGTGGTAATATCAGCATCACTTAAGTCTTCAAGTGACAAAATATCAATTAAGCCCGGATCCTTATCCTGTTTTTCTACTTTTTCAGCGCCGTTTGCGTTTCGCTTATCTCCCTCAGTAGCAGGCGCGGGTGGTGCCTCGATTTCTCCCCACAAAAACTTCCAAAACATCTTGATCGTCTGGCTAAACGTGGAGGAGGGTGTACTGCTGCATGGAGTGGTTTCCAAAGCAACCAAAACTAAAACTGTTAGCGTTAACACTAAAGTTCTCGCCATTTTCGTGATATAAACTTGAGTCTAATGTCCTCAATACCCAGATGACACAAATTCAACGTACTGCGTTGTTACGGAATGTTTGTACTGATAAAGATATGAACACAGAGATATCTACTCTCTGCACCGACTCACTTACTATTGAACCTTTACCATATTTATTTTGCAGTTTTTCATACTTATTTTTGATTGCTTGGTAAATGAGTTCTTTTCGATATTTTTGCATATTCGAATAAAAAGCGAGATAATACTATGCACATCGTTTTATGTGTGCAGTTTTTTTACGAAACAGTTGAACGTGGCCTATTGGAACAACTTGGAAACCAGTGCTTTACCACAAATGCAAGTCCAAAGAGAAAATCACGATCTGAAATTAAAATTTTACGACCGGGTTGTCCAGTAGACTCGTGAAAGGGGAAAACATAACCTTTTGCAACACTAAATTTCTTTTAAATAAAAATGACTAATCGTTTGATTTATTTTACCTTTGCTTCTTATCTTGCGAGAGTTTCGTTAGAACCAGATTTGAGTTTCCTTTAGAAAGGGCCATGGCGATCTCAGCAAAACAAAAATGAGGATTAAACTGTTTATGATAAAGGAGATTTATCCCCAAATCACACCCAAAAATAAAATCTTCAGCTGCGGCTAATTTTACCATTTGGCAACGTCCCGTTTCCGAGCAGTTTTTGTATTGTTATGAAATGTGATATTGATGAAAAATCAAAACGTTTGCTATCGTGCTACCAACGCCACAATGCGCTTTACCTGAATAATGTGAAGTGAAAACGACTGCCACGTGGGGCATTTTGTGACATTCGTAAAGTTACAGATTAAATACAGCAGATTCACCTCTACACTAGAAACCGGAACTTATAAAACGATTTCTGAACTAAAAGTCATTAAAACAAATATTGCGTTTCTTTTGAAAATGTTTATTTAGAAAGCAACGATTTTTTGCTTTCTGCAACAGACATCAAACGTCGTGTACATGTACCATACTTGAGCAATCGTGTCTCAACAGTTTATTCAAGATCATATTTGTAGACTTAAAATAATATGTACAATAATTTACAATGTTTTAATTTTCAAATAAATTAAACATGATCCCAGTCAAAATATAAAAAAAAATTCACTTTTTACAAAAATCCATTAATATTATACTGAAAAAAAATTATCAGCTTAGCACGTGCAGCCTAATGATAATAAGAATAACAACAACATGACACAGTGTCCTGATAGCAAAGTTGTAGTTAATGTGATGTGCAGGGTCATCAGCATCAACAGTGCAAGGTCAACATTACCAGCGCAGGCTTACAATCACCAGGATATTATCACAGATGCACTAAGACAGAATCTTTATTACCTGTGTCAAAATGGTGACCTGATCGATTGCCACTATTAGTGTCACCAAATTGTCAACAGTGGTGCAAAACCATCACAAATAATGTCACAGACAGGATGTCATAAAGGAAGTGTCACGGGTAAACAATTAACCATTGTCTACTATGACAGGCAATGGTTAATTATGTTTGTACACTATCAACAGCAGCACTGAAGGTACTCTGTGTAAAATATCATCATTCTCTTTGGTCTACTGTCATCTGTAAGCTGTCCTAGCAGTAAGGGTAGACCTCAGTGTCTCTTTCATCCCTCTGAGCTCCTTGAGGAGAAGAAAAAATACATTGTGGATAAAACATTCAAGTATAATAATCCAATTTTTCATTATTATAATTTTCTTTTTTTTTTTTTGGGGGGGGGGGGGTTACTACAGGTTACTCTATGCTTCTGAGTGAACGGGGTTTATGCAAACTGAAGGAATTTTCAAATCGTGGTGAAGTTTTCAGGATTGACATTTGATTTTTAATTTTGAAATAATTTTTATTTACTGCCTTCTTAAAGGTCTGCACTCTTGGGGTGCTCTCTAGATTATGTCATACTCCCATAAATGTAAACTTTGTTCCCGCAAAATAAATGAATTATCAATATTATTTATACACTTACCTCCCCATGACCTAAAAGTTTTTCTAAATCTGCTGCCAACTGCTGCTTGGATGTCAGAAGATCTTTTCGTTCCTTATGAAGTTGCCTAAATTTTTAATGAAAGCAACATGACACATTTAATTACATATTAATCATGAGAAACAATATTCAACATGGATTTTAATTGAAATTGTCAATCTCTTGTTTTGTAAATGGTACATTTAAAAACATTCAATGCACATAAGAAGATAATGACTATCATGAATGGAATCCATTGTTCTGAATCACCGTTCATGATTTAAGAAAATATTTTGAAATTTCTGCAAAAAATTTATCATTTGATATGCAAAGGCCTAATGCACAGTGTATGCCTTCAAAATCGAAATTCAAATGTTTAGATGACACTATCAGCTGTACATTTTTGTACATAATGGTATCATTGCCCAGTGGACTCTAAATGAAAAAAAAGTAAAAAAGAAACCTATTTACTTTATTTCTTCCTTCAGCTGGTTGCTATCTTTAGTAAGCTCTTGTATTTTTCCATCTTTGTTTCGCATGACCTCAATCAAATACGTCTGTGGCTGTTGTAAACTCTGTAGCAAAGAACTAGACTCTTCTAGCTGAAAATATCCAGTTGATGACAATATTAAACGTCTTGCAAAATATATTAACTTTCAACAATTAGTTACTACCAGAGGAGAGTAACTGGCAACTAAGGAAACACAAAAGTAAAAGAAAAAATTAATTCAAAGAGTCAGGTAATGAAAAGTGCATAAAAAGATCTACGCAATATAGAAAATTGAACCCCCCAACTACCTCCAAATAAATACTTTTAGGTTTTTAGCCTAAGATTGTTAACTATAAGGATAATAACTTAATGAACATTTGTTTATCAATCAATCAACTGATCAGTCCATAAATCAATCAAATTAAGGATGTACCATTCCTTCCAACTGATTCCTCTTTTTGGTTTCTTTTTCTAAATCATCCTGTAGAGTGGTATTTTTCTTTTGTAGACTTAGGACTCTTTGAGCTAAACGAACACTGAAAAAAATTAAATACATAAACATAAGACAGTATAACACAGTGTTGTTCCTTGTGGACAGCAAAGATAACTTTAACTGATCCTTATTCCCAGTTTTAAAAGATGTAGTATAGCTGTACAAAAGTCTCTTCTGAAATTCTGATAATAATAATAATAATTTTAAAGCACCATCCAGAAAAATGCATTATTGTATTTAAGTTATCAAAAGAACAAATGCAAAACAAGAATGAAATTATAAAAGGGAACAGGCCTCAACCTTTGCTGTAGATGTCTTTTAGCTGTTGTCTGAACTGGAAACTGGCTTTCATAAGCAGAGATCACACGTTCTGCTTCTATATCGTCGCCAACTGAAAGATGATGAAACATTAAATAAACAAGGAGGGATTCTTGAACTTTTATTTCATAACCTCACTTTACATGTTTTGCTGATCATATATTAGTCTAGGAGGCAAATAAAATCCCGTGGCATATTTCATCATCAACTCATTTATCTAGAAATTAGTTCTTTAAACTCATTTTCACAGCCTCACAGGACCTTGCTATAAATAGATCAAATGGCCAAGTAGAACAACCAAATGATGGCTTCAATACTTGTTATACATTTGCCCTTGGGGGTCCACACCACTCACTTTCAGCAGCCTGTAGCATCACATCGTCCAGGTGTTGCTCTATTTGCTGGTATGCTGTAAGCTGTTGGCGCAGGTGACTGCATTCATTCTCCAGTTCCTGAACTCGCTGTGTGCTGCTGCTCTCCAGCGTCATAACGTCTTGGGTCACTACCTGTGAATATTGAATAGACATACCTATTGATGTGGTGCTATATGCTTTTTTGGTTTTAGTTTTTTTTTTCAGTGAAATGTGAGTAATCTCTCTCTGTATGTATATCAAATAATACGCTGCCGCCCTCTTGCTATATATGCCTTGAACACCTCTCCTTTACATTCAAGGCATTCTGGCATATATCGCCCATGTCAACATCAGTCAACAGTTAAAATTGAACTTATCTAATATAAAACTCAAGTAGATGGGAAAGTTCACTACAATTTAACTTTTGAGCAAATTGGAAATAGAATCATTCTACATCCTGAATATGATGACAGCTGCTCACTGGTAGGAATCAACTGAAAGACTTTGAATAACTAAGAGACTATACCTCCAATTTTTTCTGTATTTTTTCCTTGTCTAACTGAGATGCCTTGAAATTCTTCAAAGTTTCTTCGTAAAGCAGCTGTGAACGCTCCAGCTCAAATGTCTTCAGTCGCAGTTGGTTGTGAATATCTGAGATTTTGGTATTGAGATCTGATTGCAGTGTCTGGTACCTTAAAATAAAATATATAGTCAAAAGTTTAGATGTATGTGACATCAGCACTGGCCCCAATGTGTAGTGCCAGAATAATGGAAGCCAACCCTGTGAAACATTGTGTAAATTTGTTTGTTTACTGGCTCCTGTTTCTACTTCAGGTCACAAATTTTTAATACCTTTTGGCTTGCAAAGAAAAAGAAAAACTTAATGACAGATTGTTAATTGTTAATCATCAAAATTCTTAGTTATCAATATTTTCTTTTGAAACTACTTTTGTTTTAAGTTTAGTCATGCTCATAATTACAGTTTTTATTTCATCATTGTTCAGCGAGCTGCCATCTCCTGCCAATTTAACTGAACATCTAGGGACTCATTTCAATCTGCTCTTTAGGCACAAGGGGCTCTGTGTAGAAATACAGTGAGCCAAGCTATCCATTCCAGGTGTTACTTACTCAGCCTGAAGAGTGTCACACCGGTCCCTGAGTTCTCTCTCGGAAGTTTGAATCCTTTCTCTTTCCATCAAGGCCATGTCCCTGGCTTCACGTAAACTCCTATGTCATAACAGTTTATTACAAAATTCTAAGTACTTTGTCAGGCTATTTAAAGTCATTCAAAGTAAGTATTGATTTTATACTAAAAGATATACAGAAAAAAATATAAAAGGTAAATATGAACATTGCTTTACCAAAATCTTATTTAAAAATCACTTAACACTGAAGAAAATCCATGAAGCACAAAAAAATTTAAACTTGAATGTATCATTTAAATGATCAGCAGTATGAGAAGGGTTATACAGCCTACTGTACACAGCAACATCCAATTTTAACTAAAAGGTATTCCGAGAAAAAATTAAACATTTTTCTCAACCCTTGCTGCAACATCTTATGTATATTGAAATTGATTACAAAAACTTCAAAGAGCCCAAGACTGTACTGTTATTAAATAATATATGATAGCTATCTTTTTCCTCACCTTATTTCTTGCTCATACATCTCTTTTGTTCCTGAGCGCAATCTGCCAACCTCTGCATCTGTTTGTTTTCGGAGGTGATCAATTTCTTCCTGGAGTCGTCTTTCGTATTCAGTTTTGTACTGGTCTCTGTTGGATAGAGGACCTGGTTATTCTATTAACTCTAGCTTTACAAATAAGGCAAAGATTATCTTATTGTCTTTTTTCTTCAGTGTAGACAACATATTATTATACAAATGATTTTAGAAATACTTATGCCAGCTCTTTTATGCTCATTTGTAAACTAGAAATCGAGGATGGTACATTTATAGACATTGACTTAGAATACTGCTAAACAAACTTTACAAGCTTCAATATACCTTTACATAAAAAAGGCTACAAACCTCACTGATACATATTTCTCATACATGTCCTCCCTCTGCTGTTTCATTTTTTCCAGCTGGTCCACAAGAACATGTCTTTGTTCCTCAGCATATTTATATTTGTGGTTCTTCTCGACCATCTGTTTGGACAAGTAGTCCTTGTCCTTGTTGGTCAAAACTAATGTCTGCTGCAATGCACTTAACTGAAAGAGAAAATCATTATGATACATGCTTTGTCCCAGACACTGTCCATGTAAATAAAATGAGTTACACAAAAAATATATTATATAAGTCTGTGGCAAAAACATTTAAGACCAATGGCCATTTGAGTCACAAGGGTCTATAAAACTACTGTAGGCCATAAGGAAAAACAGTAGCCAGTAGCTGAAAAAAAATTACAATAATTAAATATGTAGACCTATTTTACATTTTATGCAGTCTGGTATTTGGTATGGGGGTCTGATTTAATGTTATTCACATATTACAGCTATTTGAAGAAAAAGACCCCCACCCCAAAGAAAAAAGTCCTCAGTGTATTGTGAATCTTTCTTATGTTTGGAATTTACCACATTAATAATAAAGTCCACAAAATGAAATTTTTAACAACAATATACAAATTTTACTGGTCATCTTAAATTTTACTAACATTTGGCATGGAACCATTATAAACATGGCAGACTGATATATATATATCTGACCTGTTTCTTCAAGTCATCCCTTTCCTGAGTGAGTGCCTGGTTGGCAGCCTCCAGATATCCTGCAGCCTGCTTGAGGTCAGTGCAGTCCCCTGACAACTGGTCTCTCTCACTGAAAAGGGAGAAAACATACTGTGAATGTATATGTATATGCAGGTTAATAAAAAGTCAAGCAATAGTATATAAGCATATGGGACCATGATAGTTTGTACTGGTAAGCATGGCCCCTTGCATGAGTTAAAGTTGTAAAACCTGAAAATCCAGAAAGCATTGCTGGCAATTTCTCATCACAATTAGACCACATGAAAAACAAGGCAGCAAAGCTGTCAAATGTACAGACAAAAAGCAGGAAATAACAAAATAGGCTACTGTCAATTCTGATGCAAAAGTACATTATGTTAAACTGCAAATTCAACATCAAATTTTAATTATGCTCAACAGGTAATACCAATGTAAGTAAAATGTGAAACGAGCATAAAGCTTCAGGCCCATGGGAGTTCTATTCAAGTTCACACTTTGAAAATGTAAAACTTCCAGAAAAAGAAGTCAATTAGACTGCTTTTCCAACTCAGGCTGCANATTATCTTATTGTCTTTTTTCTTCACTGTAGACAACATATTATTATACATATGATTTTAGAAATACTTATGCCAGCTCTTTTATGCTCATTTGTAAACTAGAAATCGAGGATGGTACAATTATAGACATTGACTTAGAATACTGCTAAACAAACTTTACAAGCTTCAATATACCTTTACATAAAAAAGGCTACAAACCTCACTGATACATATTTCTCATACATGTCCTCCCTCTGCTGTTTCATTTTTTCCAGCTGGTCCACAAGAACCTGTCTTTGTTCCTCAGCATATTTATATTTGTGGTTCTTCTCGACCATCTGTTTGGACAAGTAGTCCTTGTCCTTGTTGGTCAAAACTAATGTCTGCTGCAATGCACTTAACTGAAAGAGAAAATCATTATGATACATGCTTTGTCCCAGACACTGTCCATGTAAATAAAATGAGTTACACAAAAAATATATTATATAAGTCTGTGGCAAAAACATTTAAGACCAATGGCCATTTGAGTCACAAGGGTCTATAAAACTACTGTAGGCCATAAGGAAAAACAGTAGCCAGTAGCTGAAAAAAAATTACAATAATTAAATATCTAGACCTATTTTACATTTTATTCAGTCTGGTATTTGGTATGGGGGTCTGATTTAATGTTATTCACATATTACAGCTATTTGAAGAAAAAGACCCCCACCCCAAAGAAAAAAAGTCCTCAGTGTATTGTGGATCTTTCTTATGTTTGGAATTTACCACATTAAAAATAAAGTCCACAAAATGAAATTTTTAACAACAATATACAAATTTTACTGGTCATCTTAAATTTTACTAACATTTGGCACGGAACCATTATAAACATGGCAGACTGATATATATATATATATATATATCTGACCTGTTTCTTCAAGTCATCCCTTTCCTGAGTGAGTGCCTGGTTGGCAGCCTCCAGATATCCCGCAGCCTGCTTGAGGTCAGTGCAGTCCCCTGACAACTGGTCTCTCTCACTGAAAAGGGAGAAAACATACTGTGAATGTATATGTATATGCAGGTTAATAAAAAGTCAAGCAATAGTATATAAGCATATGGGACCATGATAGTTTGTACTGGTAAGCATGGCCCCTTGCATGAGTTAAAGTTGTAAAACCTGAAAATCCAGAAAGCATTGCTGGCAATTTCTCATCACAATTAGACCACATGAAAAAAAATCAAACTGAAGACTGAAAATCCTGAAATCAGATATATTTCTGAAAATTTTTACCCATGAAAATTGATGAAATTCTTGCGCTGCACTTTCATCTACTCACTGTTTTGTATAAACAGCTGTAAGTTAATGGAAAACAGCTCTGAGAAGACAGGAATATACTTGCTTAAACAATCTATCACATAAGAATCCCTTCCGTACCTCTTGACAGCATCATAGTTGTTAATCTTGTAATTATCGTGTTGGATCTCTGACTTGGTGTCGGTCAGAGCCAGGGACAGCTGGTGACACTTCACATTCAGGGACTGGATGCTGGATTCTGCCTGGCTGTATTTCTGTAAAGTCAGTAAAAAAATCTAAGAGAACATTCAACAAAGCAACAGCTCTTTGGTTCTTAATGTTTGTGATATCTTTTTTTTCTTGCAAAATGCTTCACAGTAATTTAGTTTGAAACAAAAAGCGAAAAAATAAATAAAAAACAATTCTTTGCAAGTATAATTCTTCTTAACAACTATGAATATTTACATCCATTTCATTTTTTCTTGGTTTTTAAACACATTTTTACATTAGTGTGACTGTCAAAGAATAAATTTGGTTCAGCCAGCCTGTGGCCTAGCATACCTCTCTCCACTGTTCCAATTCATTCTGTAACTGATGCACTTCACCTTGGTGATGTCTGATATGCTGTTTCTGCTGAGCCACTTCTGACTTCAGTGGCTCTGTGGACTCATATAACCTTATCTAGAACAAAAAACAACCAATTTCTTTTAGTTTTTCACTTCCCTGTGTGCATGCACGTGTGTTGCAGTGTGTGCGAGAACATGTATGTGCATACACATAAATGCTTGTTATTCATATCAAAACATTCTGTTTCACTGAGCAAAAGATGTCTAAGTGTACTGGCATTTTATGTAACTTTCTTGTACAAAACTATTAAAGATTTGTGACTTCATAACAAGTAAAATACCCTATCATTTAGCTATCATTTCTTTAGACCACAGACTGGGTATTATATATCTACAAATCCAGTATCTCTATCATCAGAAAACATACTGCAACAAAATCTGCAATGGAAAGCTGATCTTCATGCAGCGCTTTCATATGCATATATTTCTCATGTGACAAAGTTAAATCAGACTGCAGCTCCTCTTTCACTCTGGCTGTCCTCTGAAGCAGCAAGGCATTGGCCTCCTCCAGCTTCTTCTGTTTGGTGAGGATGCCCTGCAGTTCCTGTTGAGTATCGGCATGCTGCTTTCTAGCCTCTGCCTGTTGAAGATGCAGCTGCGTATCAAGACGGGCCTGCACGATCTGACCATGGTGAAGAGCATCAGAGAGTTTCTCTTCCAGTTCTTCAACCTTCAATATTCAACAAAATAAGAAAGTTATAAATAACTTATACTGCATGTTTCAGCAAATATTTTTCTACATTACACCTCAACCGTATTTCAATGGTCGTTCACACTTACATTTTTGTAATCACTATATCAAATTAGCACCATGACAACTGAATACGGTTTCAAATGTCAGAAAAGCATTTTAATTTATAAAAGAGCATTACAAGCACTATATACATGTATGACCATGCAGCTAATACACTAACAAGCTACTGAGTATCCATTTTTTTTTATCTCAGTTGCAAATTAAATCCAATTAAAATCAATTTGAAAGAAGCAGACACGGATGTTAGCACTGAACGTATACCTTTTCCGCATGTTCCGACTTGATCTGATCGATCAGTAAGTTCTTCTGCGAAACTTCTATTTTCAGGAGCTGAAAATCATGGGCGAGCTGCTTACTAACCAATTCTTGCTTGTTTACTCTTTCTCGCTTCTCTGTTTTGCTGTGGGCCTCGCTCAGGCTTAGTGAATGAGACAACGTTAAAGAGGACAATTCTGTCCCCGTTGTCGTATCAAAGCCACTCAAATCGTCTAAATGAGACACCGTATCTTCTTTTTTCTTTCTGGGCATGATTATGGATGAAAGAGACTACATTTAAGACTGGTCCTTCGTAATATATCTTCCGGTTTATTTGGATCAAGCGCTCCTACTGCACGCATGCGCAATTAACATTGACTATAGAATTTGCCGATAGAAGGTGCAAGACAGTCCAAGGACTTAGTGAAAGCCACAGGTGCGCTGTATTTGGCACGCATTGAAAATACTGATAATAAGCATTAGCACGCTAATAAATGGAATTAAATTGACTGAAGACATTTTGCCTACTTTATTTTACCGAAACACTTAACGCTATACACGTATTTTTAAATACATTCATCAATTTTTGTAGCGATGTACGTACAGACTATGTAGTGTACATGTAGCGTATAGTTACATGTACGATGTAGACCAGTTAGATGTTTATGTCCACAATTGTCCCTTTCAGTACAGGTACATCCATAAAGGAATTTGAATCGTGACTCATGGTATTGGGTAAGAGAGATGTTTTTGAACTAGTGAATGACGTTATCGGCTGGTTATGAGTAAAATATTTTCAAAGTAAAGAAACTGAGAAATGCGTGTACATTTACACCAGTCATGCTGGTACATGTAGACCCATTAAATTTCATAGACACCATCGGTCCACGGAGATGTAACACTGCAGGGACTCTTGCTGAGTGCAATCAATTTCGGTCATAAAGAAAACGGTATCTAACGATGGTGACATGTTTCCTGAAGCACGAACGTCTATGGTTATTCAGTAAAACTTCACCCTTCATAAATATTACGATAATAGCAGCTATACATTTTCTCAAAAGGTAATCATATTAGTTCATTAAGATTTTAGTACGCAGGATATGAATAATAATTGCATTTCTGAACCCTTGGCAAGAATATAGATCAGTGTAACAAGGCTATATTTTCTTGATGGCTTCTATTGTTGAGTTCAAGCCAAACTCTCTTAATTATTCAGGAGTCTTGGAGAAAAGGGGTTTATTAAACCGTTTCCAACAACTCTGGCAAATGCTCATAATATTTGGGAGGCAAAATTTGCGGAATCTGTTACTGGTTACGTTCACAATTGTAAGCGTAACGCCCTGAAGGCTGTTAGCTACAGTGAAGATCAGCCACAATATTTCGGAATCCGTCAACTCCGCAAGAAATCCGAAGATCCAAGTAAACCCCATGAGGAGGCTTAATTTGAGGCTGACAACAAATAGCATGGCATGCCCAGTTGATTTTGCCCGAGTTTTTCTTGTTTTAGATGCCGACTGCAAGATAAAAATAACCGAAGCGAAGAATACCAAATTTAGAAACAATACCAAAGCAACAGGTAATGCTGTGAAAAATAATATAGCGTTTGTACCGGACAGTATACAGAACTTTCGAGTTCCGTACCCAATTTCAAATGGTGAGCACTCACAAAACTCCAAAACAATGCATGTGCCAACGATGAGGACGGCAGAACCAAAAGCAACCACGACGTGACGCTTGATAGAGGTACTTTCGAACTGGACATGCGCGCTACCAGAAGGTTTCTTGAAAATATGAAAAATGCTGAAAGCTGCGACGCACGTCCAAGTGAATGAAGAAATCAAAAAGAAATGATACAAAATGGCAATGGTTTGACAGAGTGGCGACAACTCAAAGAGCTCGGATTCGGCGCCTATCAAGAATAGAAACTGTGCTATGAAAAGACAAGCGACCAAACACATTGTATTCTTATCGGCCACATTCCGAAGTTTTGGAGAAATTGCATAACAAACCAATAAGAAAAATAGACTCAACACAGAGAAAAGGGTCAAAATAAAAGTAACGAGTCCTTGGGTATCCGACTTTGCATGTTTTGCATTGTTTTGCTTACTTTTCAGTCTAAAATACACATCTTTGCAAATTAGTATGGCATTTGTCTTTTTGTCAACTATGAAATGCCTTTGGAATATTTTCCCCGATTTATGTTTGATTGTGATATGCGTATCGTTATCGGTANTGATCGGCGACGGCGACGACAGACGCAGGTGATGGCAATATGTACAGACACATCTGTGTCTGTACATAAAAATCAAACTGAAGACTGAAAATCCTGAAATCAGATATATTTCTGAAAATTTTTACCCATGAAAATTGATGAAAATCTTGCGCTGCACTTTCATCTACTCACTGTTTTGTATAAACAGCTGTAAGTTAATGGAAAACAGCTCTGAGAAGACAGGAATATACTTGCTTAAACAATCTATCACATAAGAATCCCTTCTGTACCTCTTGACAGCATCATAGTTGTTAATCTTGTAATTATCGTGTTGGATCTCTGACTTGGTGTCGGTCAGAGCCAGGGACAGCTGGTGACACTTCACTTTCAGGGACTGGATGCTGGATTCTGCCTGGCTGTATTTCTGTAAAGTCAGTAAAAAAATCTAAGAGAACATTCAACAAAGCAACAGCTCTTTGGTTCTTAATGTTTGTGATATCTTTTTTTTCTTGCAAAATGCTTCACAGTAATTTAGTTTGAAACAAAAAGCGAAAAAAAAAAATAAAAAAACAATTCTTTGCAAGTATAATTCTTCTTAACAACTATGAATATTTACATCCATTTCATTTTTTCTTGGTTTTTAAACACATTTTTACATTAGTGTGACTGTCAAAGAATAAATTTGGTTCAGCCAGCCTGTGGCCTAGCATACCTCTCTCCACTGTTCCAATTCATTCTGTAACTGATGCACTTCACCTTGGTGATGTCTGATATGCTGTTTCTGCTGGGCCACTTCTGACTTCAGTGGCTCTGTGGACTCATATAACCTTATCTAGAACAAAAAACAACCAATTTCTTTTAGTTTTTCACTTCCCTGTGTGCATGCACGTGTGTTGCAGTGTGTGCGAGAATATGTATGTGCATACACATAAATGCTTGTTATTCATATCAAAACATTCTGTTTCACTGAGCAAAAGATGTCTAAGTGTACTGGCATTTTATGTAACTTTCTTGTACAAAACTATTAAAGATTTGTGACTTCATAACAAGTAAAATACCCTATCATTTAGCTATCATTTCTTTAGACCACAGACTGGGTATTATATATCTACAAATCCAGTATCTCTATCATCAGAAAACAGAAAACATACTGCAACAAAATCTGCAATGGAAAGCTGATCCTCATGCAGTGCTTTCATGTGCATATATTTCTCATGTGACAAAGTTAAATCAGACTGCAGCTCCTCTTTCACTCTGGCTGTCCTCTGAAGCAACAAGGCATTGGCCTCCTCCAGCTTCTTCTGTTTGGTGAGGATGCCCTGCAGTTCCTGTTGAGTATCGGCATGCTGCTTTCTAGCCTCTGCCTGATGAAGATGCAGCTGCGTATCAAGACGGGCCTGCACGATCTGACCACGGTGAAGAGCATCAGAGAGATTCTCTTCCAGTTCTTCAACCTTCAATATTCAACAAAATAAGAAAGTTATAAATAACTTATACTGCACGATCTGACCACGGTGAAGAGCATCAGAGAGTTTCTCTTCCAGTTCTTCAACCTTCAATATTCAACAAAATAAGAAAGTTATAAATAACTTATACTGCATGTTTCAGCAAATATTTTTCTACATTACACCTCAACCGTATTTCAATGGTCGTTCACACTTACATTTTTGTAATCACTATATCAAATTAGCACCATGACAACTGATTACGGTTTCAAATGTCAGAAAAGCATTTTAATTTATAAAAGAGCATTACAAGCACTATATACATGTATGACCATGCAGCTAATACACTAACAAGCTACTGAGTATCCATTTTTTTTTTTTTTATCTCAGTTGCAAATTAAATCCAATTAAAATCAATTTGAAAGAAGCAGACACGGATGTTAGCACTGAACGTATACCTTTTCCGCATGTTCCGACTTGATCTGATCGATCAGTAAGTTCTTCTGCGAAACTTCTATTTTCAGGAGCTGAAAATCATGGGCGAGCTGCTTACTAACCAATTCTTGCTTGTTTACTCTTTCTCGCTTCTCTGTTTTGCTGTGGGCCTCGCTCAGGCTTGGTGAATGAGACAACGTTAAAGAGGACAATTCTGTCCCCGTTGTCGTATCAAAGCCACTCAAATCGTCTAAATGAGACACCGTATCTTCTTTTTTCTTTCTGGGCATGATTGTGGATGAAAGAGACTACATTTAAGACTGGTCCTTCGTAATATATCTTCCGGTTTATTTGGATCAAGCGCTCCTACTGCACGCATGCGCAATTAACATTGACTATAGAATTTGCCGATAGAGGGTGCAAGACAGTCCAAGGACTTAGTGAAAGCCACAGGTGCGCTGTATTTGGCACGCATTGAAAATACTGATAATAAGCATTAGCACGCTAATAAATGGAATTAAATTGACTGATGACATTTTGCCTACTTTATTTTACCGAAACACTTAACGCTATACACGTATTTTTAAATACATTCATCTATTTTTGTAGCGATGTACGTACAGACTATGTAGTGTACATGTATGATGTAGCGTATAGTTACATGTACGATGTAGACCAGTTAGATGTTTATGTCCACAATTGTCCCTTTCAGTACAGGTACATCCATAAAGGAATTTGAATCGTGACACATGGTAAGATTATCGGCTGGTTATGAGTAAAATATTTTCAAAGTAAAGAAACTGAGAAATGCGTGTACATTTACACCAGTCATGCTGGTACATGTAGACCCATTAAATTTCATAGACACCATCGGTCCACGGAGATCTAACACTGCAGGGACTCTTGCTGAGTGCAATCAATTTCGGTCATAAAGAAAACGGTATCTAACGATGGTGACATGTTTCCTGAAGCACGAACGTCTATGGTATATCAGTAAAACTTCACCCTTCATAAATATTACGATAATAGCAGCTATACATTTTCTCAAAAGGTAATCATATTAGTTCATTAAGATTATAGTACGCAGGATATGAATAATAATTGCATTTCTGAACCCATGGCAAGAATATACATGTAGAACAGTGTAACAAGGCTATATTTTCTTAATGGCTTCTATTGTTGAGTTCAAGCCAAACTCTCTTAATTATTCAGGAGTCTTGGAGAAAAGGGGTTTATTAAACCGTTTCCAACAACTCTGGCAAATGCTCATAATATTTGGGAGGCAAAATTTGCGGAATCTGTTACTGGTTACGTTCACAATTGTAAGCGTAACGCCCTGAAGGCTGTTAGCTACAGTGAAGATCAGCCACAATATTTCGGAATCCGTCAACTCCGCAAGAAATCCGAAGATCCAAGTAAACCCCATGAGGAGGCTTAATTTGAGGCTGACAACAAATAGCATGGCATGCCCAGTTGATTTTGCCCGAGTTTTTCTTGTTTTAGATGCCGACTGCAAGATAAAAATAACCGAAGCGAAGAATACCAAATTTAGAAACAATACCAAAGCAACAGGTAATGCAGTGAAAAATAATATAGCGTTTGTACCGGACAGTATACAGAACTTTCGAGTTCCGTACCCAATTTCAAATGGTGAGCACTCACAAAACTCCAAAACAATGCATGTGCCAACGATGAGGACGGCAGAACCAAAAGCAACCACGACGTGACGCTTGATAGAGGTACTTTCGAACTGGACATGCGCGCTACCAGAAGGTTTCTTGAAAATATGAAAAATGCTGAAAGCTGCGACGCACGTCCAAGTGAATGAAGAAATCAAAAAGAAATGATACAAAATGGCAATGGTTTGACAGAGTGGCGACAACTCAAAGAGCTCGGATTCGGCGCCTATCAAGAATAGAAACTGTGCTATGAAAAGACAAGCGACCAAACACATTGTATTCTTATCGGCCACATTCCGAAGTTTTGGAGATATTGCATAACAAACCAATAAGAAAAATAGACTCAACACAGAGAAAAGAGTCAAAATAAAAGTAACGAGTCCTTGGGTATCCGACTTTGCATGTTTTGCATTGTTTTGCTTACTTTTCAGTCTAAAATACACATCTTTGCAAATTAGTATGGCATTTGTCTTTTTGTCAACTATGAAATGCCTTTGGAATATTTTCCCCGATTTATGTTTGATTGTGATATGCGTATCGTTATCGGTACTGTTGATAAAATTAACTACCGAAATATTCAACCTAATCATTGGACAAGGCAAAGCATCTCCCCTACGGATATCTCCTGAACCTTTATAAACAGCGACATGGACAGAATCGCCGAGTGCCATTAGCGGCAGTCTCTGAATCGTTGCGTTCCAAACTTCATCCAGCAATTGGGTAATGGTGTCGTAATCTTCCGGGTCACCCAGATACCTTAGGCTCAAGCGGACAGTTTTGATGCACATTTTTGGTTCATCTTCTCCATCTTTTTATGCACTGAGCCTTGACAAATTGAGATTTCCCTGGATGTGTATCTTTGGCATTCTCCATGTTGTCGTTCAGTACAGCGGGTAGTTTATTATGTACCACATTTTCCGACTTGTTAGAACAGTCTCCATAGATCTGCAGCGTCAGGACTTTCCAAATTGTTATAGCTGTGAAGTCGTGAAATACTTGGTGGCAAGTGTTCATAGCTGCATTACTGCCATTGGAGCACTTCATGTCATCGCATTGGGTCTGAAATGTCTGTTCATACAAGGATATATGGTTTTAGTTTTTAATGCACGTAAAACATAATGCAAGATCATTTTTATTGTATTTTTCAACCGAATGAATAATGTATGCAAGGACAGATCTTCTGCATGTGACTTCAACGATTTAACAAAAGCCATTTCAGTGCATAATTAGATAATATTTGGTACCTACGCGAACTTAAATTTTGCCTTTTGTAACGGTCCATTCTCGATAAATTCAGCCTAAAAGTCTCTGAAACTCACCTCTCTATTATCAGCATGTCTGAAGATACTGGAGACACCGCAGACATCCTGAGAACAGAGACGCAAATTACCAGTGCCTTATGAACTCAGGATGTCACCTTATGCGCCGTATTTCTCCTACCTTGTTATTTTTATCGTACACATCCTTGCAGGATGTATTGTTGTATTTGCCCATTGCCACCAATCCCATGAGTTCACCCATAGTCACAGTCAAAGAGGCCGAAAATTCCAAGTTGCCCTTCGTGCTCTCATTGGTTTCGTGGATGTCTGAAAATAGGGGATTTTTCGATTGCTTGTGATATAACAGTTTGATTGACATAAAAACTTTTTTTTCGGGTCAATACATTTGATGATATAGAGATTGCCTCTTAAGTAAGACAAAAATTAGCAGTAGAAAATACGCCCAGGCTCGAGTAATCTACCTATTTAATCCAAACGAAGAAAAAACCCAATAAACAGGGGAGTCTGACAGTCATCTTTATAGTCGACTTCTGACATACAATGAAATGATGAGCTTAAAATTGTTTGTTTCAGTTTAATTTAAGACATTATCCCAATACTAACCTGGTGCGGAACAGCCGTAGAAAACGAATGTCATACTGATATTCTCTTCGCAAACCAGGCAGCGGGGATCAAGATACGTTCTCATTAACGCAGAAGGAAAATATGTCGCGATTTCCACAGGACGGGACATTGCCATTTTACTGAACGTATCACCATCGTCGGACTCCAAAATACTGCACACTGATTCCAACTCCTGGTCAACACACGTGCTTGTGAAATCTTCCTTATCCCAACACTGCCTCAGCCACAGGGCGTTTTCTTCTCTGAAGCGAACAGAGCAAACTGACGAGTTCCAGACGTTTGCAAGAGTATCAAGAGACTGCCCCGAGAGAAAATCTGACGGCGACCCTTGGCAGTGGACGAAGGGGGACCATACTGATAGTTCTTGTATTGTCCGTCCATTGCAAAGGCCGCAATATATATTTGAGTATGTCAACCCCGTCGGTTTATGTGACACGGGTAAAATCGACCAAGGCGCATTGACAGCAGGTAACATCGTACAGTGTTCATGAAATTTGTGAGTCTCGTTCATACAACGATTTATGTGCCACGCCTTCTTTTGATCCCAGCGCTCAATTCTCCCTGCCTTTTTTCTTCGAGTGGGGATGCAACGAGAAAGGTACGCGGTTTGTCTGATTACATCATCCCCTGATGGTGTCGGGACAGTTTCTAACCGGGGGTCCAAACCCTTTGTCACCAATGGCGTCACGTCCGTTTTCCAATCTGCTGTCACCCGCTCTGTCAATAACGAGCGATGGCTATCCAGTAGCATTTCAGTGTCATTTTGCCCTTCGAGGTCCTGACAGCAGTCGCGATATGGCGACAGTTGACATGTCCAGTCCAAACGACACACCAGTCTGGCGTATGTTCTCGATGTAGCTTCGCATACCCACTCGTTAGCGGGAAGCGACGCATAGCTATAGTTGTTTGCAGAAATTTGAGGACTACATTGCGCCAAAAATGTCGTTATACATGCTATTGTAATTGCAAGATGCCTACAAGTGCGACAGCCCGACTCTGGAAACATACTTAAAAGTAGCATTGGCTTCTCTGTATTTTAAAGCACAAATAAAACGATAACTTTGAAGTTTTTGGTGAATAGCCTATCTTTTAAGTCTTGTAGATGCAAAATCAATTGCTATAATACTGTGCATAGTTATCGAGATTTCTTTTATTCAGTTAGTGCACATATAAATGAACTGATTACCACTTAAAGGCAAATTTGCCTCCGATAATAATGCAAGTTGCGGGTCACACATGCCTTTGTCAGCTTTTGCATCGATTGATTGAATACAAAAAAGCTATCTTAGCGGGTTTCCAGCAAATAGGTTACTTTACCTCTAGTTATCATTAAGCAGTTGAGGCATGTGCAATTTATAAGCATATGCGGATGGCATTTCCAACATTTTGGTTTTTGCCTCATTCTTTTACCGACAAGCAGTGTTTGTCGAATGAATGATCCGTTTCCAAAGCCTCTCAATGTGATAATTTCCAGCGCTTGAATTTATTTATGTGCATTTCCTCGAACATGCCATTTGAAATTGCCAGGTGTTAATTCTGAAATGCCGTTCTCATTGTTACTAAAACAAATTGGGTAATTAAGTTCAGTACTGCTGATAATTCTACGAAGTAATTACCACTGTAACTAAAGGCTGAGCCTCAAAATAAATGAAACAAAAGCATCGAAAATGTTTTTCTATATGTTTTTACTTGACGAATCTGAAGGCGACAGATGCTTGAAAAAAACATTACACAGACCCTCATTTGGCAGTTTAAAAATTCTGATTATCATAACATTTACTCAAATAATTCCACTCTTGAAACAATTAATTTCTTGGCAAGATCGTGTTTATATTTCTTTGTTTCTGTCTCTACACAGGCACACAACAAACCATTAGATTCAATGACAAATCATCATTCCTGTAATTTCAAATATAAACATCCCACAAGAAGATGAAATTTGATAAACTGGGCCAATGGTTATCATGCTCCCATTCTTGTAAAAACTTCAAAGGAATCTATGCAAAATATTTGTGTCAATAAAAGACAAGATTTGTGATTGCTAGATTTCTGGTACATATGGTTCAAAAGCCATAAAATATAATAAGTGCAAAAGTTTAAAACACTAAAATACAAAAACATACAAACAGGCATGGGAATAGTCCATGGGAAAAGTGATCAATGACTTTTTAAATGATTCTATCAAATTTTTAAGAAGTTTAATGAAAGAGAATCATTGAAGTACAGTGTTTGGAATGAAAAAATATGGCTTATATGGGCACCAGGGAAAAAACTATTGAAAATATGATCATTATTTGCAATAATGGATAATGTGCCAATATAATAAGCCACCTAGTATAGCATCATTCTGTGGTCTCCACTAGCACTCCATGTGAAGCACCTTTAAGTCACAAAAAGCCTTTGTACTACTTTAATTAACCTAAATTAATAGTTTTTTACTGATAAGCTAAGTTGCACAACACATCATTAGTTTAAAGTTCATGAATAATCATAAAAATTGTACAAAAATATTCAGTAATTAGAACACAGTTACTACAACTGAAATAAATATGTAAATTTTAAGAGCAGTAGCACCAAGATTTCCCTAATAGGAAAGTTGCAAAATAGCAATAAAATAGTGTTGAACAAGTGGCAAGGAGTCTTCAACACTCGATACCTAAAAAAAAAACTTACTTTTTTGCCACTTAACTGCTCTCCTGATAAAAAATTACAGGATGTGCTCATGTAAGCACAAACTAAGATCATTTGTAAAGGCATAGTGTCGAACACAAGCAGCAACTCGTCCAATGGCTGGCATAAATAGCTCACAAATCCTGAAACAGCATGCAACCTTTTGACAAACGGCAAGTTTGAATTCCACTGGTCCAATATATCAGGGCACAGAATGACAACTCATTTAATTATCACAGAAAGGATATTTTGGGCACATACCCTTACATATCTGCACAAATAATATTTTACAGCATCCAAACGGACATTACCAGTTAAAAATATTTGATTTCTTCAATATTCTGCTACAGTGCATGAGCTGCACATCTAGCCATCCACTACAGAGCCTGGTTGATATAAGCTGACAGTGAAGCTAACAAAATCCCTTACAGACTAACAAATGTTTCCAGATAAGGGCCTTGATGATGACATCAATTTCCTTCCTGCCTCATTTAGTCCATGCAAATATATCATATATACTTCAATGCTTAGTCACCATGTGAACACTGCTAATAAAACATTAATTGGAACAATGCTATTATTCACTTTTTCAAATTTACACAAAAATGGGTGATCCAACCTTATCTTAAATTACTTACATTTCAGAATTGGTCAAACAACTATGAATCACAGTTAACAAATTTCCCCACATACAATTGTTTCATATGCTACATATAGACATTATAGAAAATACCTGGATGGAGAAAGTATTGTATACAATTAAGTTGAAAGCTTTCCTTTAAACACCTTATTTTGTTAATTTAAGTCTGTCTATTCGAAGATGTTTATTTTTGAAGCACTGCCATCTTGTCGTCTCTCTCCTCTGTGGTACCCAATTCTTTCTGTTCGCCCTTGATAATGGGCACTGTAGTCATATTCTCAACATCAAGACTTGCCCTCAGCTGTTTCCATGGTCAACTTTTCATTGTTACTCCTCTCAAAATTCAACCTTTGAACCACTATGTCTTTGTAATGCACACTTACTCAAGTGTCACTGTCATCCGCCAAACAGGACTTTTCTTTACCCTCATATGAGGAGTCACAGTTTGCGGAAGATGCTGACGGTGTGGGTATTTTTAAAGACAAATTGTCAGGAGAGGAAACCAACTGATTTTCCTCAGTTGGATGCCACTCCACGGTCCGTAGAGCATCATTCTTGGGCCGTCCCCTTCCCCTTGGTGATGAAGAGAAGTTCACCACCTACGACAACCAAAATAATAATAATAATAATAATAATAATAATAATAATATCTGACTTACATTTACACAGTACTGCACAGATTCATATGATATTATTCACAGTTTGACTTAAGAAATAATTCAGAAAACCTCTCACCTGATCTCCAGCTTTCACTTTCAACAAAGCACCATAATAATAAGTGGTCTTCAGCTTTCCTTTTCTCTTGGTGGCCACATCTGGGAAGAGCTGCCTCATGGCTCTGTTACACTGCATTCCCCAGTTGTTGATATCTTGGTCGTTAATGACCCAGGAGACATTCTCCAGGAGGACATCTCTCGATATACAGCTGTCTGGAAGGCCTGTCCACTGGACAAACTCTGCATAGATAAATATACTTGCATGTATATATTAAATACTTAAATGAATACACACACGGTGGATTCTGCATAACTTATTGCCTTATATTCTGTAGATTAGTCATCCAGTGGTATTTTAAATAAGATCAATAAAGTTTTTAAAATCTATTACTTGACATACAATTTAGTCTATTTGACTGCCTCTTCTGTAGACCAACTACTTTCTGAGAGGGAGATGCAATATTGCCAACTAAGCATAATTGTCATTATAATTGCTAATCCACTTAACAGATATATAAACTCTCTTCATATCATTAACTTCTAAGTAACTCAAATTACTGTTTGTTGCAGGCAAAACTAGTGGAGGTGACATTTTTTGATATAAACTGAAACTAAAAAGAACAAACCACTAGGTAAACTCACAACTCAACATAACTTATTTAATACGTGTCTGAGCTATTAAAACTAACACAAAATATATAAATTAAAGACATGCTTCAACAATCGAGAAACCCTGCCTTTGTCTGTATTAACTCTGAATAAACAAAATGTTTTATCTAGGAGGAGGGGAAAAAGTGTGAAATGAAAAGAACCCTCTCAGATATAACTCTCATCAAGTAGCAGTGTGCTGCTGGCCACATTTGTCTTACTCTAGGGGCATTTTTCCGCATGTGAACAATTTATTAGACTGTAATAACACTGCTCACAGGGAAATCTGCCAGTAACATCAGCTCAGTATTTTCAGATAGGCTGATATTACAAAGTGCCACTTGAATGGGATTTAATATGGAAACCATTTTCAATGCTGAAAAATTATTTCATAATTTAAAGTTTGAATTCAGTTTTAAGACTTAGGATAACCAAGACATCCCTGTTTCCAATGCCAACAATCACACCAAGTTTAAATACAGTTAACTATTGAGTCTTTTAATATTATTGCAATAAAAATCCATACACACCTGGCAACATCTGAATCAGTTTCTCCACATCTTGCTGAAAGTCTCGCAATGGCAGATATGACTGGGAACTATCGCAGCCCTCAGTGCCTTCAACGCCATCTATCAGTTTGATGCCAAAGAAATAGGTCGTAGATCAAGGGTTAAGGAGCTTGGGTTGACAAGATTGGTAACATAAAGATAACTAACTTCATGAAAATGTTTATCCCTCCATAAAAAAGACCCCACTTATTCAAGAATTTACCATTAATTGTATAGCTCTTAATCCATCTTCCTTTAGAACATGTTCAACTATAAGTCACAAACATTTGGATGAAAAACAAACAAACAAAATAACTCTAGCATCTGATGTACAAAGAAGACAAATTCTGAAAACTTGACTGCATACTAGGCATCAATTTCCACTCATACCTAAAGACAGATTTTAATACTGAGCTCTTGTGATTTGCACTAGTGGATAAATACATATTTCTTCATATTTTGCAGTAAACTGAATCAATTCACCAATTATTAATCAAAATCCTCTCATAGAGTAAATCTTCCTTCAGAGTTCAATTTTGTGGTAATAGTAGTATCAGTTCAATAACTTTTACTCAAAAATGTTTTTTTTTTTCCAATACAAAGGATATTTCTTGTACATTCCTTTCCTCTGGGCCAGTGTGTATGGATAGGCCTCCCTGACTGCCCTGTTACAAGCTGGCCCCCAGTCTATGGTGGTAGCATCTTGGAGTCTCATGCTTATCAGCTGCAGAAGGTGATCACGCAGTAGACTACCATAGGGTTCCCGTACAACAAGCTCTGTGGAAACACAGTGATTTATGAGTTAAAAGGCAAAAAAATGTCTAGGAAATGTCTTGTATTAGGTGGCTAAAAAAAGTTGACAATTTCAACGTTCAATCATGTCAACAGTTAGGAAGATATTGGAATGAAGCTTGGGATCTTTAAGGAAAATGATGTCTTTTATGAATGCTGAAAATTGTATGACTCTACCTCTCTTAGCTTTGGCACACCTAAAAAAATTTAATTTTCAGTCACAAAAGTGCTATGCTAACAAGTGCAGGTGTAGGTTGATCCCCCTGTGAAAGAATCCCATCTTTTACAGCAGCCCTATTTATCTATTTGGGTGGACTTTTAGGTCTGCCACTGCCTGCTTTTCTAGCAGTCAAGCCAGTATCTTTTATCTTTCTCACTAGCTGATAAAACAGATTGCAGAGTTGAGCTCTTTCCAGGAAATTATCTGACAATCCTGTTGCCTTTCCATTTTTTCCATAACACAGGCCTCAATTATCACCTTGTCACTATCATTAAAACGAATGCAGTATTGATCTCATACTTAACAATATCCAGCTGCCTTTCATCTACACAAAAATCATGTCTGAACACCTGCTGCAGCAGACATCTACACCTGGCATGACTGACACTTGATTGACAGGTGTCAAAACTGCCAGACACTGACACCTGTCAGAAGTCACATAGGCCGGCATGGCAATTTTTGACTTAAGATTAAACTTTTTTTGTGCGCCAAAAGTGATTAAGTTAGAGTCTTGAATTTATGAGCTTATGTTAAAATCATCATTTTCTTAAAATATCCCAAATTTCATTTCAATATCTTCATAACTGTTGAAGTTATTGAACTATAAAATAAGTAATTTTTTTTGAGGCACCCAATATATAACAAATTTTTATCTTTGCCCATACGAGTGAAATTTACCAGTCTTCTTAAAAAGTGACTCAAGACTGACAAACTTAGAACTCAAAAAGGGGTTTATAGACAGTGAAAAACTTGTGAATGGTTTTGAGTATGTAGTACCTGGGTGATTAGAAGATAAGTGTTGCAATTTCCAATTCATGTCTTACTATTTAATGTGCTAATTAGGCTCTAACGCTCACTTTAATCACAATTTTATCAGCATAATTTTGCATCACGAAAGAACCTAGAATACTTGTGTTTGTCAATCTTTGTAATCAGCTGGTTTATAACAATCCATCCATTACATCCAGGCACAGGACAGAATCCCTACCTGGCAAAAGCTTCCTTATTTTAGCCACCTTGGCTCCCTCTAGCATAGTATAGCTCTGTGGGTCTGGCACTCCATAGCCATGACTGTCAATACAGTGTTTGATGAATTCCTCTGATGTGGAATAGGCTGCATTGCAGCGGATACAGTGATTTGGAACATCATTAATTCCCCTGCCTAACACATCTGTAGCACCACTGGAGTGCTTGACTTGCAAACCAGAAGGACTGTACGCCAGGTGGGGAGAGAGCACCTGGGGCAACGGTGCCCCCGAATTGTCCAGGAAATTGTGCTTCTCTATGCAATGCTTTGCAAACTGGGAAAATGTTTTGAAGGTAAAGTCACATCTATTGCACTTCCTCATGGGATAATCTTCATCATCCAAGTTAGCATCTAGGTGATCAAGCCCACTATTGCCTCCTTCCAAGGAGGTATTCGATTCTTTTTTCAGCACCTTTTCCGGTATTTTTAATGAACACTCCTCATTATCACTGCTGGTGCCTGCTCTTTCTGCTCTTTTATGGGAAGGTGATTCCTCTGGATTTCCTTCATGGCCAGGCTTGAGCTTTTCACTGATTAAAGAATAAATATCATAATTATTTTGAGAACTGGTCTTATCACGATTGTGTAAAAGACTCACTTCATCATCACCTTCATCAGACACATATCCCTTTTCTCTGTTTTTTCTTTCAAGACGTGTGTTGTGTTCCACACCACTACAATGTGCTTGAAATGCTATATTTTGGGTTGTTTTCCAGTCACAAAGACAACAAATATACGTATTTTCTATTCCACTTCTTATAACTTGTGTGTATTTTCCAAATTCTGAAGTTGGCACGTCTGCATCTTTGCTGTCATTTCCTCCTCCCTTGTGATTTGACGGTGAGGATTTCACACTTATTTTCCATCCCTCACTTTTCTTACTGATCTTACACAGTAAAGCATTGTTTTCTGTGTCCCTTGGTGAAGGTATAAGAAGCTGATCATCTCCACTTTCATCCTCAGAATCTGTTATCTCCTGAAAACCAGACAATCTTTTCTGAATCCCTTCTCTTTTTTTTCTCCTTCCACCACTTTTTTCTGTTTTGGCACTTCTTATGCTAAAATGACCCTGTTCAAGGTCAACATCAGACCTTGGGTCAGGATCACTTTTTCTGGGATCAGAGTCAAGGTCATGTGTCCTAAGGACAAGGTCACTATTGGGATGGCTGGTACTGACATGCACATCCAAGTCTTGCCGGGTATTGAAAGTCAAGTTACAAGACGGGCAAGTTGGGCCTGCTACAGAGCCAACAAAGTGAAGCTGCTTGACATGGCAGACAAAGCTCTCTTTTGACGTGAGTATAGATGGGAGGCTGGTGCACAGTGTGCATTTGTAAAGAATTTCTGCAAACTTGAGACAATGATCTACCGACTCATGCAGTGCCCCATCCAGACTAGCCATGGCAGTTGCTACTCATTGGCTTCCAACTGAAAAATTTAATAAATAAAATTATTGCCTCAACTTAATGCAAGCTAGTACGTATTTGATGAAGACATCCCTTTTAGCAAAAATAAATGAATAAAATAAAATAAAACGAAAAAACAAACAGATTAAAACATCAGTTCCATTGCAGAAATCTTCCTGTATTGCAATGTACTGTTGTATATCTGATTATGTGACCACACGTATAATCTGTGAATGTTTTCTTGGATGTGCACATAATGCAGGTCAAAGAGAAAACACACACGGTCTAGGTTGACCTTCAGCCTTCACATACTATTTCTCTCGGTCTCAAATTTTCCGTCTTTTTCCAAAACAATATCACTAAAGGAAAAACATATTTGACAATGACAATTTATGACGTACAAATATATCTAAAACTGAATAAAAAAGACTGAATCCGTGGCGCTGGTTTTTCGCAAAAATGAACCTACCAGACAAAGGATGAATGAAAATGCGACATCTGACGCCATTCCCAGACAGACGGCTGTCTCCAAATGACCCCTTAACCTACTTTTGATTTTTTAAATGTTTTCCCCAAAAACGCTCGCTCATATTAGCATTCTCGAAATAATCTGCATTTTGATTTTCACTGAAAGTTGTACTTTCGAAATTATATGTTGATATACAGGTGAAAACGCTTTTATACTTGGCACTAAATTTGCGCACCTGCTCCGGAAGTAAACAAAACCAGCCGTTGGCGCGTGCAAAGTCAACACTTTGGCGAACAATATTTTCCGTATTATACATTAAAGACTACCAAAAGGATATTTTTCAAATTTTCATCATAAATCTTAGATAATGTTTAATTAAAGATAAAGATTTGACTACTTAAGTACATTAACATAATTAGCTAATGTTCGACTGTACGCAGTCTGTTTCTATCGCTTGCGCGTAAAGAATGCGCAGTGGGTGTTGTAAACTTTCATCTTGCGTTCTCTCTCTCTCAGCAAAATGGATTGGAAATAACACACAATTAATACCTTTGTGAGTATAAGTGTTGATAGCTGGTTGAAATTCATGCGTGTCGCTACAATATAGAACTATCGAACATTGTTTGGAGCATCGGCATGATGCACACGTGTCTCTTTGGTCGTGTAATATGGTTTGGTATCAAAGCAAATAAGGGGGTGTGAACAAATATTCATTGCAGCTCGAAAATCCGTGCATTCTTTTATGCACTTGCATAATAAGCATAAATTTATGGCCGTTGGAAATCTGAAAATGCTTCCTTATCATTGATTACATAGTTAGTGATATCGTGAAGTTTAATGAAATGATTAAAAAAGGTTCTTTGCCAGTCAACTGATCATGAGTCATTTTCAAGTATCCGCTCTGCCAGTGGTTTTCCAACGACTTTTATATGACACACGTGGAAAGTATAAGTGAAACCTTTCCATGTGCATTGTTCACTTTGACTCTGGGTGAATTATTGAAATATAATTGCAAATTGGTTGATTGCTTGTATATTTTCATATTCTTTTTAAAGTGGATAACTTCTCGTAACTTATTCGCATTGCATAACTTAAAGGCGTATTTTTTAGTTGTTGTTTTTTTTTCCATATAATTTTTTGCTTTTGCTTTTAGGGATAAAATCTGTATTTTGACTCATATTAAAGGAAGAATGAATTTAAGAATATATTATGTTTCTTCTCTTGCAGTGGGTATAGGAAATTTTAAGGGAAAATGGCAGCACAGTTTGACAAGTTGCTGGAGCTTGCCAGACACTTGAAGCAGGAACGTCTTTATGTTCACTCTGAAAGAGAGCACATTCAGAAACTGAATGAAGAAATTGGGAAGGTTGCTGAGCAACTTTTTCACACAGCATGGATTGCAAAGCAGCAGAGGCTTAATCTAAATCAGTTGATTCTTGGCTCTCGGGAGATGTCACCAGCTGTGGTTTGTCATAAGGCCAATCAACTGGATCTGGCAAATTTTATTGATAGTTATAAATATTTGAATTATCATGATTCCAAGTATGGGGAATTTTTACAGCAGCTACGGGACAGACCTGCAGTTGTTGCCAGTTGTCTTGTCGCTGGGACAAAGCAAAACCAGGAAAAAGGCCAAAAAATGACCCAGATTTTGATGTCCTCTCTATATGGAAATTGTGTAATGCAGGAAGATGAGATCCTAGTACTGCAGCTTTTGAAGTCATTAATACAGATACAGCTTGCCAAAAGTAATGACCCTTGTAAAATGCTCAGGAGAGGAAACTGTACTTTTAGTGCTGTGTTTAGATTACTCATTGAAAGTTTATTCTCTGTTAAACTGTTTCTCACTGCTGCTCTTCACAAGCCAGTGATGCAGCTTCTAATGGAAGATGAGTGGTTTTATGACATAGACCCAGAAAAAGCACTGGTGAGATTTCCATCAGCTGATAAATTGAAGAGGTTTGGGGAGGCAGGTAGTCCCCAGTATGACGAGAAGGTGAAGAACTATAGGGAATTCACCATCAGTAAATTACACACACTGACTGAACGTTTCATTAGCAGTATCAAGAACAGCATGTACTGCTTTCCACAGAGTTTGTGCTGGTTGGTGTCACAGATGTACAGAATTCTTAGCGAGGAGAACCACCTCTCCACCACGGAGGCAAGAACTGTGTGTGGCGATCTTGTGTTTGCTATCTTCATCTGCCCTGCTATCTGCGACCCTGAACCTTACGGACTGACTCTGGATGCACCAGTCAGTTACATTGCCAGGCATAACTTAATGCAGGTAAGTTAACCATTGTTGGGTATTTATTTTCTTCACCCAGTCTTGGCTCATTCTAGCCTGAAAATTTGCCTACAATGTAATCTTAATTTAGGAAAAGGAAGACAAGTTTATGAAGAAGTATAAATGATTGGGCTGAAAAAATTATATTGCAAAAAATACTTGTCAGCCAAGTTATTGTTTCTTGTCTTGAATGTTTGGGAAGGTAATTTAATTGTGTGATTGAATAATTCATAAATTAAAATGCAAATAAGCAAGTGTGTGGCACAGATTTATTGAAATGATGAAGTCTCTCGGGGATATATAAGCCAGGGTTACTGCAGTATACATATACTAGTATGCAAAAAGGCATACTGCCTTAAACTGCTTTAAAATTATTGATTATTTTCCTGTGCTGAATCCCCCCAGTGTTAAATAGGATTGTGTTTCTTTTAGCCTTTGTATTGCGTGTTAATGCATATCAATAGCAAATAAGAGATGTGGAAAGGCTGTGAACTTGTGTTCGAGTTCATATGGATATTGCCTTCATCTGCGTGTTTAAACACAGAAGCTGTGTTCATACCACCATTTTGTTTTCTTCAAGATATTCCAATTTGTGATCTTTTGCTTGTACAGTGAAATTGATAAGGTCTTTGGTTAATATATCTTTGTCAGACCAAATTTATTTAATTATAATTATTTATTTGTTGTTTGTTTTGATTAATTTGTTGTTGTTGTTATGAGTATTCATTCATTCATTCATTCATTCATTTAGGTTGCCCAGATCCTCCAGGTTTTAACTATTTCTAAGCTGGAAGACATTGACCCACGTATACAGGACCTTTATGGGAAGTTTGAGAGGGTGAGAACTAAAGGTCTTCTCATTAAAATTAAATAAATATTAAACACCTATTCATTATGTTTTTATAGATTCTGTCAATATATATATATATACAGTATATATTTATTGTACATATTAAATCGTAAGTTACATCATTGCAGTTCAGTAAAACCCAAGAAAGAAAAGCACTTTTATTGTGAAGTGATGCATTTTATTGTTGTTTTGGATTATTGTTATTGTATAGCAGTGCAGTGACATATTGCACAGTTTTAATAACCCATACTAATCAAATAGGAAACTGCTCCATTTATGTATTTATTTGACTCATTTTAATGTATATATCTAAACAGTTATTTTATTGTTGCGAAATTCATATGAAAGTAGCATTGCATATCTACCTTGTGTACATTGAATATATGCTAAAGTTTGATGTCGCTGATCAGTATTTTTCTTCCAAATATTTTTATTAAATAAGATGATGTTTTCATTTTGGAAAGAAAAATAGATTTTGTTGGATGAATCCAAAAGAAAAATATTTCACAAGGTGAATTTTATGTAAGCCCTTGGTTTGGTACACTTGGTCATATAGCACCTTGCTTAAAGCTACCAGGGGATTCAGTCAGAATGATCTTTTCTTTTTTCTTCAAACGTCCAGGGTTGTGTCTCCTCCATACTAGACAATATGATAGAGAGTGAGGTGTCAGATAGCCCCGCCCACTCCCCTCTACAGCTGCATGGGGTGGGGCGCACTGCTGTTCTGCTTACTCCGGCCCAGCTCAGGATGGTGATCAATTTCCTGACTGAGGTAAGAAGACTTTAAAGAATTCACTGAATGTTAGAACTGTGTTTTACATTTTGCAAATAATTGTTTTTTGTGAAAATTTTGTCATTGATTTTTTGATAGTGATATAATAAAGTTATTGTATTTCACCACTGAAATTATGGTAACTAACATAACTATACAGTACAAATGTGAGTTTATGAAAATAAAATAGACAAACTTGAGAATAACACTAACACTATGAGCTATCTACAAACAAAGAATGTCATCACATCTGCTGAGATTGAATATCATGGTGGTCTGGTGTTTAGCTGATAAAAATTGAACAAAGCTTTACTGTTATATAGCTTAATTGAATACCTTCCTTTTCATTTGAAGATAAATTGCTTCCTCCTACTGATAAGGGTCCTGGCTTATCAAACAGAAACAAACTATTTTCAAATGAAAACAAATTGCTTCCTCGTAATGATGTCAATAAATAAACATAAAAGGAACTTAACAGATATTTGATTTGAATCAAATTACTTGGGATTTATATTCATTTTATTGCTATCAAAATCAAGTGGTTGATTTTATCCTTCCAACTAGGTCCAGAGTGACCTGAATGAGAACAGTCAAGAGAGGAAGTTAGTGGAGAGTTTGCTGGGTGACCTACCTGCTAACAGTCCATTGATGGCACAGTTAAGTGTGGCTAATGCTGCTATCAGAAACACAGGAGTGGTGACTCCCGTAGCCACACCCCCAGGGACACCCTCACAGGACAGGAAAAATAGTAAAGGTACATGGTAACAGTTACCCCCCTTGTCTAGCCTCACAGGATAAGAAATGCTAGATTTTTCCATTATGTTTTTTTTTTCTCTCTCTTTTTTGAGTCAGGATTTTTTTTATCTGATAAGGAAAATGAAAGTGAAATTCCTCCAATATCTTGTAGTTAGTCTGTTTGCCACATGTTGGGTTTGGCTAAAAAGATGGATTTAATAAAGTCCTTTTGTTAGTGCGAGTGCACATGTGTGTGTGCGCGCGCATGTTCACATGCATCCTGAAGTTATACAGATGGACAAACAAACAGAAGAAAATTTTGAAAACTATAATGTTCAGAAATGCCTTTGATTCTCTTGTCTGTTTTATTGCAGTGAACAAAAAGCGTAGCTTCACAAACTTAAGTGGCAATGTAGGTAACTCAGACGACTCTGGGGAGGACTCCTTGAGTTTGCAAGATGTAGACCCCCAAGAGGATGTTCTAGTCATAGTAACCAATCAACAGACTGAGGTACCTGGAATGCTGGTAGAAGAGAAGGTATACATTTATATGATTATAATATGAGCACGAATCAGAAGAGTCACATTTTAAGAAGATCAATGTAACAGATTTTATTATTTTTTGAGGAAGTAAGACTTTAAAGATATACACATATATTGGTAATAACCCTCATAAATGAGGACTCCGAATTGTACCTGCTATAAAAGATAATCACTTCTTTGGTCCATTGCCCTCTCGCCAAAATTAAACAACTTTTCACTAAACTTGAATATAGAGAAGTTTTGTCATATTTTGTCACAGTGCCTTAATTGCGTGTACATTGTTCTTACTGTTATCTCAGTGCATTTGACAATCTAACAATATTTCATTAATTTTGCTGTTCTAGGTTCTGAGAATGGAGATGCGCCGTAGACGTGGGAAGGTGGACAGTTTACCTGGAGAAGACTTAGATGGAGATGGAGAGCCAGAAGTTGTGGAAAAGAGGACAAGGTTTTCTTTGTCACATGATCAGGATTCAATAGGTGAGAGGAAGAGATCTGAAGACTTTTTTTTTTTTTTTTCAGCTTATACAGGATACAGTTGTATAAATGAGATGTATGATATTTCAATGACATAATCAGTGACAACCTAGAACATCTATTAAACAGACAAAATCTTTTTACTTTGCATAATTATGAAATTAGAAAACTGACATGTATATCTGTAGAATTCTGTAATGGTTTTTAAACTCAAATTCCTCATAGATGAGAAGATTTTTACCTTGAATCTTTTCTGATGGTACAACCTTCAAGTTGCAATCTAAGCACATATTGCAAGTAATTATTTAGCAGACGTAGCTAAAAGGTATTATGATCAAAATGTTTAAAATCCGATTTTCCCCCAGGTAATACCAGTGACTATTTAGAAGCCATATCAGAGGCAGCATCCAGTCACTCCGTAGGTTCTGTGGAACTGGACGACGATGAAAATGACGTCACAGACAACTTTTCCGACATGCTGTCAGCCAATGTCAGTGGCAGGGGCACCCCGAATATCAGTGGGCGAGATACCCCAGTGTCCCATACTGATAGCATAGGGCCAGAGGAGGAGCTTCCCAGGGTGCAGGATCTGCCCATTACTATAAGGAAGAGAGACAGAGAAGATGTGACGGAGAGATTTGGAAAGTTTGACATCAAATCAGAATATGAAAGTGAGTTATAAGCTGAACCATTTATGATTTAAGTTATAACATAGAAGTGATATTTAGGAAGTGGAAGAAAGAGTGTGTGAGGGTGAGGTTGGTAAGTTTGATATATAAGGTGTGACCGAGAAAAAATTGTTGATGATGGAACTACATAAGTGTAATCTGAAGTAGGAAATATTGAACCCCCCATTTAATCTTGAAAAGGCCTCTTTAGCATAGAAATCATTTAATCTAAGACTTCCAGTTGATGCATTTAACACATTTCTTATTTACAGAGGATGAGACCAAGTCCACGGTGAGTGACACTTGGAGCACAGACGTTCTTGCCAGCGACTCCGAGCCTCCGGAAAGAGACCAACTAGAACGCCTAGAGGAGGTTGCCGAGGAAATTATTTGTCAGAATTTACTGGGAGTACCCTTTCAGGATCCCAAAAGACATGTAAGTATGGTTTGTTTTGAAATATATTAAATTGAATTATGGATTATTTTAAGATAAAATGGAATCAAAACAGACATAGTGATAAATGAAATTAGAATGGAAATTTCAAGCATCATATGACACTGATGACAATTCATTTCATCTGGAAAAGTATTGTGACAAGGTCAAAATGCTGCGATCTCCATTTCAAGTAAGATCCAGTATGAGATTCAATTTTCCCATCATCTTCGTATAATACAACTAAGAAGTACCAGAATGAAAACTTTGATATAATTATGTTATTATTGGATATATTTTTGTTTTATAATACAAAACTTTTTCAACTTTGATATAATTATGTTATTATTGGGTACATTACTGTTTTATAATATCACAAAAAATACAAACTGTTTTGCTGACAGGCATCTGAGATGTCAGAGACTGCCAGTGATGCCTGGAGCACAGATGTTCTGGCCAGTGAGACTGGGGAAAGTCAGGTGGACAGACTTCTGGAGCTGGACACGGTGAGTGGACACAGGCATTGCCAAGTATAGTGATAGGCAGCAAGCGGAAAGGCATTTGTCAATATATAGCATTGAAAAAAAATTTTAGTGCAATTAGTGTGATGGACTATGAATTTAGGATTTAATGTAGTTGTATGTTTAGGTAAAGTTTATTTGTGACTATGAATTTGAAATTTAATGTAGTTGTATGTTTAGATAAAGTTAATCTGTAAGGGCAGGGTATAAACCTTGAAGTGATTTTTTAAAAATTTGAAAAAAAGATATGTTTTCGCTATCATTTAGCAATCTTCATTCAGTGTTGGTCTGGAAATGCATGGTTTGTCTTTATTTATTCATTTATTTATTTACTTATTTTTTGTTCAGGATGACACTGTGAGTGTTAGCAGCAAAAGTCAGGCAGCAGATGAAGGCTCTGAGGTTGATCAGCGAGAAGATCAGATTGCTGGTAAATTCCATTAATACCTTAAATGTCAATTGATATCAGTCACATTTTGGTATTATCATATTTTGTTTAAACTGTAATTTTCTTTGTTAACAATTTTGAGAAATGAAATTATGTGAGTGTTTGTTACTCTTTTAAGGTAATTTTACATGGCATTCATATGTCAGAAACTGAAAATAACTTGAGAGCCCTCTTTTTTTTAATCTCACAGAAGTTGATGCTCTGGAGGGTGCTATTGGAGGAGTACCACCCCCCACCAACACATCTGAAGAATCAGCCTCCTTCTTCTTTGGAAACTCCTCAGATGATCTTCCTGATGCTGGCGTCCCACCGCAGGTTGTTATGCGCAGACATGTGGGAAATACTTCCAGGGAAGTTCGTTGGGATGAAAACCGGTAGGTTTATTGTTTGTTATGAGAATGAGTGAGAGAATTTTTGAACAATATAAGGCATATGGGTGTTTTTATTTCTTATCTTTCTGGCTAGGAATTTGTGCATTATGTGGAAGAAGTACAATTAATGCTAATGAAAATGAATTTATGATAGTTCATGAGAATTGTATGTTTCTTTGTAATATAATTAAGATTTTTACTTTCTAATTGTTATTGCAATTAAAAATAAAAATTTAGTAATGATCTCATTAATTTTATTTCATTTGGATGTAATTTCAGTTACAGCTAATAAAACAAGAAAAGCACCTTTAAAATAAATTTTCCAAGCTGGCATATAATTTCAGTGCAGAAATAATCTTCATCTCCAGGTCCAGGGTTGTATCTCAGATGGTGGAGAACTACAGCAGGATCGAGGAAACCAAGTATGAATACACCTCCAGTCAACGCATTTCGGACTCTCTCCAGCATGCACAGGGGAGGGTAGGTAGTGTACTGTACAGCGTGGACCCAGTCAGGCAAGCCCAGTATGACCAGCAGTCAATACGGCCAGCAGTGCCGCCATCGTTGGATCAGACATGGCTGCCAGAGGGCCATCTCAACCAGCGCAGGGTCCTGAATGGGCCAATCAGTGAGGAAGATATATTCGAAGATCGTGGGCGAGAGTCTCGGATTTTTATAAGTGGCCAGTCAGAATTCTCTCTCCCAGGTGCTACTGCTACAAGTTTGTCGGTAGATATGCTGTCTGATAACATTGATAATTTGAAGCTGACTGAACAACAGAATGTGAATATTGATGAGAATCGGCTGTCTACTGCGGTCACCTTATTTGATCCCCTGATGCAAGAGGGTCCGAAAAATGACACAACAGGGGCTCCATCTATTAATGACCCTGTCCCAAACATCTCTCTTCTGCAGGCGCCCCCTATACCTCCTAGAACTCAAGACCTGATTCCCAACTTAGTTGATAATTTTGACAGCAGTTATGGCAGTGGTAGTAGAGGAAGTGGACTGAGCACCTTGTCCAATGGAACAGAGACCACAAGAAGTCATAGTAGTACCGATGAAAGCCAAAGTGGTACTGGTGCAGCTGGTGTGAGCACTGTTCAGCTGATAGATCATGTGACTGAAGGAAAGGAGAAGACAGCTAATGAGATTCAGTTTAGCAAGGCACAGGAAGTAACGGTGGTGCCATCTGCTGGTGCAATACCAAAGAGGCGAAATCAGAACAGCCAGCATGAGGTAGGCTGAAATAAGAGCAAATGCACAAGAAGATTTAAAATAAGTACATAAGAATTGGAATGACTCCCAAAAACATGTCTCAAATTAACATTCATAGCAAATGGATACTTTGATGTCAGCTAAAATTACATGGAAAATGTTATGTAACTCGCGAAAATTTTACGGTCCCCTAAGTGTCTGAATCATGAGGAATCTACTGCAGTCATTATGTAATTGATACATATTTATCTATTTTTTAGAATCATGTATGTCATTCACAGTGATATTTCACACATGAGAGGCAATACAAGGGCGGAAGATTCTTTCATACATTTGGTCTGTGAAATACAAAATACAGTAGCCAACAATCATGCTTTACTAATCAAAGATTTTGAAAATTTTTTGATGAATTTAGGAAGATGACAGACATGACAGGAAGAAACTCAGCATTTTTAAGTCGGTTAAGGAGAAAATTTCTAAAGGTATGCATTGCTGAAAATTAAAGGTGTGTTATGCAAAAAAAAAAAACACATAAAAGTTATCAGTGCACTGCACCAGCAGTCACAGGTGCTGTTTTGGTATCTTAAATTATTATTTTTAAATCTTTGACATTGTCAACTTATTTGAAATCATGCTTTAGCTGTAATTAAATAATACAGATCACCATTCTTGGGACAATGTACATTATGTATATATTATTCCATTTTCCTTGAATTTTGCTCGGCATGCATCATTATACTTGCTAATGTTCACCAGGTGTGAGACGGAAGGGATCTAAAGCCCAAGATGTGAAGGAAGACTTGACGCTGTCTGTGCCGAGAGACAGGGAATCCCCGAGGCACAAGGACAGAGGTCTGAATTATGTTTGTTTGGAGCTAAATCAGGAACAAATTAGTTACCTTATTATATTATAGAAATTTATGGCAAATTAATGTAGACTACTACGAGTAATAAATATTTTAGTTGTGAACTTTCAAAGATATCAGCTTGTAGTGTTGTGTGGAAGTCGAAATGGATGTGGATAAAATTTTTCTGTTTTCGAATCATGGTTCCTTATCAATTTATCATTGCTTATCACTTTCTCAAACCAATGAATTTATGTTTATCATACCACAAACAGTTTGTATTCAAGTGGTAGACGATGATGAATTTGTTTGCTCTTCTAGGGGATGGTAAAACGTCACCTCATGATGAATCTGAAAACAAAGACGAGGCAGGCGGCGGCATTTCAACCCCTCCTGTCCAGGATGCTAATTCCAGTATAGGTAGTTCTACTTTACCAACCATTATGTATGGAAAGTAAATCCTATAGATGATACAGAATAAAGTGAAATAAATTTGTTTTAATGTTTCAAAAGTAAATGAAATAATAAATTTATATTAATGTATTTTTCTGCAGTGATGAATGTGCGATGTGTAAATTATAGTATTTACATCAAGATTTTCACTTCTAGTCATTTAAATTTTGATATAACAAAAACACCCTTCTGAAAGAAGAACTAATTTTATAGCTTTTTACTTTTGACTTTCAGCAGCAAAAAGGGGGATGGCACAAAATTATAAATCTGAAAGAAGACCAATAGCATGTCAAGTAGTTTACATGCCAGTAGTTCTTTTTTCCAGATGATATTCTTGCCAAATACCGTAAAAAGGTCAGCATAGAGCTTGAGCCAGCAGAACAAAGTAGTAGTAGTAAGTCAGAAGAAGTGGAGGAGGAGGAAGGACCGCCCATGTACGACCCCAACAACCTGGAAGGGTGCCAAGCTTTCAGCGATGCCAAGAAGAAGTTGCGTCTAGTCCTTAGTACTACAGGTATGTTTATTTATTTGCCTAGGTGAAATTTTTACAAGGTCTTGAATAGATTCCAAGAAGAAACCTCCTGCTCTTACTACATGGGGGTTGTATGTATAAATACAGTCCAGCTGAGTAACGAGGTAAGCTATACTTTCTTGTTACTAAAACAGGTATATTGGTTTTCTGTAATAGAGAAAGGAATTACAGGACATTTTCACAAAGTTTCAGGAATAAGTGACCTCCATCTCTCAGTAAAACAGTTCTGTATGATAAAACAAAGTCCAGCTAAGCAATAGGGTAACATGATTATAAGTTTAAGCTTTGCACTTTCTCCACAAAATTGAAGTTGTTCACCACACTGTATTTTATTTTGAGCACTGTTTGTGAACATAATTAATATGCTACACAATTGAATTTAAATCAGAATTGGATAACTTATCTATTCCTTATTAAAAGGGCATGGTTTTCTGCACTAAGGCATGCAGTTAAGGTATATTTATAATTTGATTCAATTATTTTTGATTCCCAGGACAAAATTATTTCTTGTCCCCGTTTCATCTCGGCTAAGAGTTCCCACCTGAACATATCATATATATCATCTTTCAGATTTCCACACCCTTCCCCTCCTTACTGGCCTCAACTGTGCTTCCCCAGGGGCTGGAAACGAGGCTCCGGGACAGAAGAAAGAGAACCAAGTGTGCGCGGTACTTAAAGTTCAGCTTGCAGAGGCCATTAATCTGCAGGACAAGGATCTGATTGCACAGCTGCATGAAGCCATTAGGTGTTTGCAGAGTTTTGATAATGATGGGTAAGTGTGTGTGTGTGTGTGTGTGTGTGTGTGTGTGTTAGAGTGAGAGTACAGAGCAGTGTCAGTCAATCCCCCCCCCCTTTAATTTTAGATCTCAGAAACTAAGAGAGAGGCAAGAGCACCCCTACCCTCTGCCATGCACGCATTCCTTGGACACACATCACATTGTTAATAATGACCATTTTATACAAAATTCTGTTTCAAATCCTAAAGGCTGTGTATTGATACAATAGTATTGTTCTTTGCATGTCTTTTTTACCTAGAGTGAAGAAATTGCTCAAGTCCTTGTGCGAGGAATATCGTTCCAGAGCCGCATACATTGCCTACCTGACAAGATGTAAGCAGGGACTGCTGACAACAAGATCCCATCTGGAAAGATTGCTCAACAGGATTCATAGGTAACATTGTCCTTGTGTGAAATAATTTTAGGATTCTGCCCAACAATATTCACAGGTAACTTTGTTCTTTGATGGTGCTATCTTTCTTAATTATTAACTATTTTAAACTGATGTTTTTTTTTACAGGGACAAAGAAACTTGTAACAAATACTTCACCTCTGTCCTTGTGCGCCTCTTCATGGAAAAGAGAGAGAGATCCATCAACCTTTTGCTCAAAGAGTTTCAGAAACTCAAAGCATCTGATGAAAAGGTATCGGGTTTCTTTTTACTTTCAGGTCATTAATACATATTTTTGCAGTACTCCCAAAACTTACTACAGATTGTAAGCTTGTACCCTAATTTCAATTCTGTTTATAAGTCGAATTTGTGATCCCTCTTTATTTTGCAAGAATGTTTTTTTATTTCGACTAACACTTACTTTTTTAGGTGATTGAAGTATTAATAAGCATTGTTTAATGTTCTAGACTGACTATGTTCAAGATTTCCTAAACACCCTGTATAGAGACATGGAACAAGATCCTGTCTGGCAAGGTATGGGGTTTGCAGAAGTTTTTATTACTTTGTTGAAACTGAAATTACAGAATTAATAATAATAAGAAGAAGTACACACTGTGCCTTTTGAAAAAGTACTGTAGTGGAGGTTAAGAAAGATACAACCAGTTTCCGTGATATGATTTTAAGGTTGTTTTTCTCCAGTGTTTATCATTGTTATCTTTTAAAGCTCAAGGTGTTGAGACTGAGTTAAAACTTGTATTAGATTTGAAAAATAAGCATACATAGAACTTACCAATGTAAAAAGTTTCTCCTTTTTCATAAATCAAAGTGGAGTGAGGGAGGTGGGATTGGGCTTTCGTTACACTGAAACATTTACTGAGTTCCCATTTTTCCGCAGCGTCCATGAATCATTTGCAAATTCTGTTTATTAGCTGCCAGTGAGAGCCAGTTGGAAGATGCGGAACTTGCCATAGAACGCACTGTGATGAGCCACATCTACACCTTGGCTATGTACCCAAATGGGGACATGGACATTTCCAGAGATCAGTAAGTTCTTGTTTAGTGACAGTTAATGTCTATAATATAATTTATGTTTTAAGTAATTAGTGATTTACAGAAAACATTGATAACAAGTGTAAATAGTGATGAAGCAAATCAAAAAAGTATTTGGAAACCCCTAAGGTCAGATCTTTCATGCAGTAGCTATTGAAATAGTTTAATTCTAATTATTGTTTACGCATGAAATTTTGCTTTGCTGTCAACCAAGACTTTAATTTTTGAGTTATTCAGCAAAAATTGTACCAGTCCAAAAGTAAGTGTCCCAGATGCACAAGGTCTTATATTGTCAGGCTTGCCAAAATCAGCAGTCTTCGTCATGGGAAAGATATTTAACAGTCATGGTTTTCAATTGAAATATTTACAAATTTTTTAACCCCTAAAATCTTTCTCTTTAGAATTCTCCATCAGCACATGAGCAGACTTTCTAAAGTGATCACCCCCAACCATAAGTCTCTGAGGATTCCAAAAAGTTATCGCCATGAGTGTCCTTGGCCATCTGCCCAGGCAGAACTGCAGATGATCAATGTCTACAAGGTAAAGTTGGCATCCAAGAGTTATTTCAAAGTTAACAGATATCTAAAAGTGTATTATGGCTGGAAGTGTTTTAGCAAGTGATTTGATTAAAAATTTATTTGGCTAAAAGGAACACTTCACAGTCGCCCTTATATCTGTGACATATAATCAGCAAGGTGAGATGCGCAGTTGAAAATTAGAGTAATTTTTAGTCAAGTGATACTTAAAAATGATAAAAATGGCAGTTTTGTTCTTGAACCTGCCATTCTTCACATCACCACCATATTGTAAAAAAGTTTGGTGGATAAAGTAAAGACCTAGGATATATAGTTTCCATGAAAATGCTGGTTTTTCAGACACCTAAGGACAAACTCCGCTGTGTGCTACGTTGTTCATCAACCATAATGAACCTATTGAGCATGGCAAATGAGCGCTCAGTCCCAGCGGCAGACGACTTTATGCCTGTTCTGATTTTCGTCATTATCAAGGCCAACCCTCCTTCCATGCTGTCCACTGTACAGTACGTGAATAGTTTTTACGAGAGGAGGCTGACAGGAGAGGAGCAGTACTGGTGGATGCAGTTCTCTTCTGCCATTGAGTTTATTAAAACTATGGACTGAATTCATTTAGATTATAGACTGAGTTCATTAATAGTGAGTTTTTTAAGTAATGGACTGTGTTCACTTAAATGGAATACTGAATCGATTTAAATTATGGAAAATGAACATTGAATGTATGGACTGAAATCATTGAAAATTAAGACTGAGTTCAATAAAACTATACTCTTACCTTTCTTCAAACTGTTGGCTAGGGTTTAGTAAAATACATGAATTAGAAACGTCATAGAAAGGGAATGAGTTTTGTAGTAAATGAGAGTTGTTCAGTCATATATGCCATGTATCTAACTAATTACTGTTTTATGCCATATTTCAATTTAAGTTGGATGGGACCCAACTCTGTGCATTTCTGATGGCTGCCTAATTAAAAATATGGAGCAAATCTAGGCACACAAATAACCAGAGCTACATAGGAGTTGTTTGAAACAGCAGAGCTGCTTTTTACCATGTTTCCATTTAAGCTGGGCCTGCCCAACCCAATTTATGCCATTTCAGCTGACTGTCTGATTATAGATCAGAAGTAATTGTAGGGGCATGTGCGTAGCCTTGACTACAATGGCAGTGGATGAGCCAACAAATCCAGAGGGATAAGTATTATTGCCTATAACGATGCGATTATTGTATTGAGATGGCTAGTTGGCTGGGCATACTCGTCCTTTTATAGCATCTGAGAAAACTATACGTAATATATTTATTGAAGAGATATTAAATCATATCAGTAAAGTAAGTCATTCTCCTTAGCAGTGATACTTATCAGCACAACTGTGGATATAACTGTCATTGTGTTAGATGTGCCTTTGATGTTTTTGCTGCTAATGTCAGTTACATGTATCACACACAAAAGAACTGAACCTCTTCCAGTGGAAAAGTTTGCAGTCAGGATGTGGAATAGATACATGTTACAGAGTATCCAAGATAGAAATGTTTTGATAGAAGAAAATAAAGAATGTCAATGGCTTTGTGTTGTAAATTGCTTGGATGACTATAGGCCGCATGTTCTTTAGGCGATGGCGTGAGCCCAGCATTAGACGTTTTCAACAATTTTTGATGAGCAAATTTAGCTGCAGTTTCTTATTTATTATTATTTTTTATTTATTTATTTGTTAAATTCTCAATGCTTTAACAGTTAATAATACTGAAATGTTGGACCCACTTTTTGGTTTTTGTTAAATCTGCCATCACATGGTTTAGTATTAAATACTTACATGAATTTACCTCTTCCTTGAATACATACCTCTCTGCAAAGATGCCATACACAAATATTATATGTACCAGAAATTAAGTTATAACAGAGGTCAGGTATAAACAACATGCACATGTCATATTCACTTAGTTTTGTAGACTTAACAAATTATCGACAGACTTCTAGTGGTGGAAATTAGAGTTTGACAAAATGAGCACATCCATTTTTTTTACCCAGCCGAAATACTTTTTTCTTGAATTCCTGTTTTATGTCAGAATTGGAAACAAACATAATATTCATATATGTTATAGGTTGATTAAATGTTATTTGTCATCAGTTGACCATATTGATGTATAATATCAGTTAAACTAGCTGTGATGAACAACAATTGGGGTTATATGTAATTTTAATTAAATTGTTAACATGTATTTATTATTGTATTTATTTTATTATTATTATTTTTCTGATTTTGATCATCAAAGGACATTTTTATGTTCATAAAGTCTGCTTTCAGAATATTATGAAAGATAGCGTAGAGTTTTTTACACCGGAATCAAATAAATATGCACACGTGAACAGAAATTTTGAGCAGGCATGGTTATCATCGGTTGATAAATATTAGAGGTGCACAGTCTAGGATAAATTGCGCTTAAAGAATTTAGCCGGTGTAAACGGTATTTTTCTCCAACTAACCAACCTTTCCTTACACTTGCTATAACTTTGACAATCTGGGAAAATCATAGCCCTTAACCCCGCGCTTTTGTGATTTTTTTTTCAAACTCCGACATTTTCGCGATCTCTGTTCTCACAGTTCCTTCCGGATATTACGAGATTAACTGCCTAAACTATTGATGGTCGGTGAGATTTTTCAGCGGATGATAAATACAATTATGTTTGTGACATTTTTAGACCTGCACCATGATAGGCAAATCGGATTCTTTGCAAAGGTTTATGTGTAAAACAATGAAAGCTGCCACGATAGAATGGGTTAAATTGTCAGGAAAGTAGATTTTAGCCAAACTTATGCTGCATTCTGAAATATTAATAGATTTTCACTAATTTTTTTTCTCGTGACTTCTCCACGTTGGTGAAGCAAATGAAGCATTCACTTCATAACGTAGATAACTCTTTTATTATAGGAAAAAGAGAGAAACATGCCTTTGTACTAGATTAATTTTCATTTATGCGTTTGCATTATTGATTAAATGGCCATTTATACTTACTTGGACTTTAGCTGAGAGAACGATAATATCCATTCTTTGCATTGCAAGCTCAAGCATTAAGCACAGGTTAGTAATTTCAATGCTTGAAAATATATACATTTTGGAAATTAATACGGATTATCTAAAATGTAATTTAGCTTCATTGCTTAACGCTTTCTTGACCCTCCTTTAAAATAGCATGACCGACGTTAATACGTATGACTTTTAAATGTATGGACTAATGTTCTTCCTATTCATTGCACTCGATAAAATTTTGATTAAATTTTCTGGCAGCTGTTTCCACACGTGATATGGTGATGTACAAAGATCGTCGGTAATGCGTATGCGGGCTTAAAAATGGGAAAATGAGGGTTGTTCAGTTATATATATATATATATATATATATATATATATATATATATCTCCATGTATCTAAATACTAATTACTGTTTTATGCCATGTTTTAATTCAAATTGTGTGGGACCCAACTCGGTGCATTTGTGGTGGCTGCCTAATTACAGATATGAACCCAAACTAGGGAAATGTGAATAACCTCAGTTACATAGGAATAGGGTGAAACAGCAGAGCTGCTTTTAACTGTGTTTCCATTTAAGTTGGGCGTGCCCAAACCAATTCATGCCATTTCAGCTGACTGTCTGATTATAGATCGGGAGTCAATGTAGGGGCACGTGCGTAGCCTTGACTACAATGGCAGTGTATGAGCCAACAGAGCCAGAGGGATAAGAATTATTGACTCTGATGATGTTATTATTGTATTGATATGGCTAGGTAGGTGTACTGTAGTGAGATGGGATACATGTAGCTCAGCTCGTCAAGCGTGTCCTTTTATATCATTTGAGAAAACCATATCTAGTACATTTATTTGAGAGTTATTAAATAATTTGAAGTCAATTTTTTACCACAAAAACCAGCCGAATGCCAGTATATAGTTTCAATTAGTATAACTAGGAGAATCGTTTAATATTACCTGAAAAATGATATTTGAACGGATTTCTCTGCTAGCTTTCTATGCCGTCTATGAAAGGGGCCGAGAAGTTAGTTAGATGAGTAGCTAAAGGTTATAAGATTAAAGAAAAGAGCAGTTTAAATCTCTTTTATGGTTGATTGAGGGNTAAGTTAAAACAGAGGCCAGGTATACACAACATGCACAAGTCATATTCATTTAGTTTTATAGACAGTTGACCATATTGATGTAATATGTCAGTTAAACTGTAGCTGGCATCATTAATTTCTCAAATGCCAAGTTATATTTAATTTAATAATGGATAACTGTTATTTCGCTTGAACCGGAATAAACTGTTTTTCTCCAACTGACCAATCGTTCTTACACTAGCTATAACTGTTGCAATCTGTGAAAAATAAAATGGAGAAAGGTAAATGGAAACTTTCTCACTGTTTGCGATTTTAAATACGTACAGTTTCTATGAACTAATGTTCTTCACATCTATTGGACTCGATAAAAAATTGATCACACTTTCTGTCAGCTGTTTCTACGCATGACATATAATAGTGATGCATGGAAATTGTTGAGTAACGTGAATGTGAGTTTAAAAAGCGTAAATGTGCACCGACATCAGGAAAGAATGGCGCGGACATCTCTCAGACGTATTTTGTCTTTTATACTTGTCAGTTTCATCACTTTTCTAACGTTATATGTTCTACTCAAAGTACCAAATAATCTACGAGTGGTATCTTTTGAAATGGAAAAAAACGCTCGTCCACACGGAAGGGAAATTGTACGATCAGATGTGAAAATCTGCCGCAATGGGTAAGTATTTATAATTAAGTAAAATGTCATACTTTCTGCAAAATATACTCTCAAATTATAACCCCTACCAACGCTAAGTTGGAACTTACGTTGCTGTGGCTGAGGGTTGACCCTATTTGTACTTTTTTTGTCTGCAGTACAGCGAAAACAAGTGTTTGGGAACATTTCTAGTCCAACTTTACTAAATGGCTAATAAAATTGTGCAGAATAATTATGGGGTTTTATATCAAAATTTGAATTATGGTAAGGTTCATTCAGTTGTGATGTTCAAAAGGCAAAAATATTAAACCCCATACTGGAAACTCATATAGATCTGCTAGACGTTTCGTCCTTTATCACAGGGACATCTTCAGGGAGTTGTCACTACCTCAGTATAGGTGACACTGCTCGTGGTATTGCAGTCGTCACGTGGCAGTCAGTGGCGGTTTCTGGTTCTTGAGAGGAGGCAAGGCGGCCCACCCATGAAAGGATAGAGAAACCATCACTGAACCGGTGCGGGGATCGGCATTTCCAGCTAGTCCTGTACCACGTGTGGGACCGCGCCCTGGCGGCGATTCCGTATCGACTGTCAAGTGACGACTGCAAATTAATAGTAATTGGATATTTGCTTAAGTCGTAGATCAAATGGGAAATGGCTTATTTTACAGCTCTAGAAAACATTGCGCCAACCGTTGTTCATTAGTTATAAGGACCAGTACATGGGTATTATAGTAGCCAATTTGTAATGAGGAGTCTTGCTCCTTTTCAAAGGAGAAAGTTTTAAAAGTTCCTTGTGAACACGTCATTGGCACATTTATGTGTTGAAACCACTTTCTGCTGGTGGTACATACTAAGAAGAAACCCCATGCCTCACTGCAATTTTAGTTTGATTCCTACTGATTTATTGCTTAACACAATGGACCTGTCTTAGGTAAGTTTTTTTTCTAAACCAAAATATGTTGTCTTGATTGAGAAAATATCCAGTGGACATACTTTTTAGATTTGAACATACATGTATAGGCCCAGTGAAAATGCAAACTTTTGCCTATTTTATCATTAACGTCAATCAATTTTTTAGACCAATGAATAGCAGCCGTTCGACCGCTTATGAGGAGGCATTTAAAGCATGGAGGGACGGTCTTCCAAAAAGAAACGGTATATTCAACTGCATGCCAAAGAACCATATTCTATTTCGCAAAGTTCACAAATGTGGTTCTACGACGCATACGAATATTTTCTTACGTTATGCTTTCATGAATAAACTCCGAGTTGTCCCATTTGGGTCTGCATTGCCACTGAACCAGAAATACGACATCATGGCTCATCACTGCCCTTTTAACGAAGCCCATTTCAGAAAGACGATGCCTAAGGACGTTTTCAAAATTGGTCTGGTTAGAGAACCCTTTTCTAAGTTTATATCTGCGTTCTTTTTTTATCGAAGGAGACTTGAATCAACCTTACCGTTTTCTAGTGACAATCACATGAAAGAATTTCTAATCAGTTATGACAAATGGAGCAAATCCTTTAAGATTCCTCCTGGGATGAGGAGAAACAGTATGTCTCAAGAAATGGGGATGTATCACGAAAGTTTAAGGGATAATAAAACAAATCTGAAAGCGTTTTTGAATAAGCTGTCAAAGTATTACGATTTTGTAGCAATTCTGGACAAAACAGACGAGGGCCTCGTTTTACTTCGACGTCGCCTGTGTTGGGATTTAAGAGACATTGTTTATAGGAGGAAACTAACGGGAAAGTACAATGCTGAGAGCTTCGTTGACGGCGAGCTTATTGCCAGACATAAGACTTCTGATAGCGTAGACTTTACA